GCCGAAGTAAGCATAAGACATGCATTATCCGCTCCTTTTCATCTGGCTTCTAATGGCCTTGCAGAGAGATTTGTAAGAACGGCCAAAGAAGCCCTGTCCCGGCTTGATGCAGGGGACTGGCAGGCTAGAATAGATGAGTTCTTAGCAGTACAGCACGCCACCCCGTGCCCCACCTCGGGCCGCAGCCCAGCCGAACTCTTAATGGGCCGAAAGCTAAGATGCATTCTCGACCGACTGCATCCCAATTACTCCCCCGATAGCTTCAAGGGGGAAGGGGGAGGATTAAGACAATTCCAAGTAGGAACACCAGTTTTTGCTAGAAGTTACACCAATGGGCCCTTATGGGTGGAGGGAACCATCGTAGGAATTACCGGCCCTAAGTCATATACAGTCGATATAGGGCATGGTAAAATTTGGAGAAGGTATATCGATCAATTGCGCAAACGTTTACAAAACGAAAACTCATGTCCTAACTTTCAAGGTCTTCCTGACACAGCTACCTCAAGCCCGAGTAAGCCGGAATACTTATCTGGCAACCCTGAGTTCCAGCGCCGCCCCAGCGAGCCGACACTCCCAGCCGGAGATAGCCACACCCCCGGAGAAATCCAGGAGGTTCCATTGGCGGAGCCGGGAGAGACGGGAGGTCCCTCCGACCAGCTCGACACCTCGCCAACAACTGAACTGCGCAGGTCAACAAGGATTAAGACACGCCCTGGTCACCTGCGTGATTTTGTATGTAAATATGTAAATAGATAGAATAAGTGCCTTCTGGGAGTGGAGGGGTGTTATGTATGTATCTATTTTGTGCGGGAAATTCAAATGTACAGTGAATCCTGATTGGTTCAGGGTCGCCCCTGAAAAGAGGCGGCCCCTGAAAAGGCAACGGGCTGTTGCCTGTGTTGCTTTGCTGAAGTCTCACCCTGAATTAAAGAGCTGTTATTACTAGCCTGCTTGTGCCTCTCGTTATTCCCGCGCTACAACACTACCCACCCACGCTTCCTCCAGTCTTCTTAGCATCTCCTTGTAGCTGATCACACCAGACAGGATGGTCGTCCCTGAAGAGGCAGTAGTCAAGCAGATACCTATGGTAAATCATAACTTTAAAGAGAGTCTCTACTTTCATCTACATCCCTTCCTTCTTCTCTGTAATCCCAGCCTGCAGAGATACAAAAAAATGAACCAGTGAGAAAAAAGTGCCTGAACTGACTCCAGGAGATGAGAAAAATTCAAAGGCCTTCATCCATACCAATCCTAAGAATTACAAAATATTTCACATTTGTTGCATCACATTTTGTTTCCTTATCACATATAATATGCTGCTAGAAACAACTGAGTGTCTACTTCCCAAGTCCATTTGAATGCCCCCATCATTTATAACTATTTTCATTCTCTGTCTTTCATCAGCTTTTTTTTCTGTTCTTGCTCTGAATCCAAACAAACAATCTTTGTGGAGAATTTCTGTCTTCCTTGCATATCCTTTGTGTCTGGTCTACTAAAGACATCTCTAGAAAGCACATTTAAACGTCACTTCCTCCTTTTGTCTGCTCAAAACTAATTGAGAATATCGGAAACATGGTTGTTTTGTTTTAATTCAAGTGGGCATTGCGTCTGGAAAAAATCAGATGAATCAAAGAGCTTCCTATAGAGCTAAGGCATTTCAAGTGAGGAAAAAATAAATTGGGAAGAGTCATAACAAGCTAGATTTTGGGTGTGTTCCAGCATTATTCTGTTAAACATTATCCCCATCCTAGAAGCAATAATAATTTTTGGGACTTATTCCAGACACATTTTCCATGAAAGGAACTATTAGAAAATGCATGGATTGTTGTGTTCTAAAATGTACCAGCTGAACATAAGAAAAATATTCATAGCATTAACACTCCAGCAAATTATTTGATTTCTAAAGAAATCTCTTGTTACAGAAAATTTGTTGCAGAGGGCAAAATGAACTCATTCCAGCACAAATTCATTTTCTACAACACATACCTATGTAACTATCAAGTCTTCTTAATCAGTGTTGTAACCAGTCCTTACCAATTCCTATCCTTTTAACATTTCTTCTACTACTTCTCATGTAATTCGTTGAAAATGAATTTGCTTTAGAATTATTTTGTGAAAAAAAGAGAATTTCAGCAAGTACTTAAGTTTTATTGCAAGGGAAAAACTCCCTTCTTTAGATCGTGCAGTATGAGTAGTCAGGAAAAGACAATAATAACAAGCAACACTATCATTAGTAGAACTCTATTTCACTGTACATTTGTAGGAAAATACTGGCTGTTTTAGATATTGCCCACGTGATTTCAATATACCATTATCTGAAAGATCATCAGTTGCTTAAGAGCAACTATTGATTGCTCTTAAGCATGTCTTAAGAACTATTTACTCAAGGGTATCTCTACTTTATTCAAAGAGTTCTGAGACTAAAGAATTATAGAATTGAAACAATGCTATAATATTGGGGTCCCAAATCTTGTGTCCAAGAATATTGCATCTACCTTGTCTAAAGGCACCTGATCCTTTTCACCAGGTATGATTATTAATTATCTTAGATTTAAAAAACTACCTGCAATTTTTCTGCAATCTTAGAAGTGGGCTGAATGGGCCATTTATAATAAATAGGCAGACAGACAGACGACAGTATGTGTGTGTGTCAGTGGTGGGTTTCAATTTTTTTTACTACCGGTTCTCTGAGCGTGGCTTGGTGGGCATGGCAGGGAAAGGATACTGTAAAATCTCCATTCCCTCCCCAATCCAGGGGAAGGTTACTGCAAAATCCCCATTTCCTCCCAATCAGCTGGGACTTGGGAGTCAGAGAATAGATGGAGGCGGGGCCAGTCAGAATTTTTACTACGGTTCTCCGAACTACTCAAAATGTCCACTACCGGTTCTCCAGAACTGGTCAGAACCTGCTGAAACCCACCTCTGGTGTGTGTGTGTGTGTGTGTGTGTGTGTGTATGTGTGTATACTCACTGAACAACCATTTGTTTAGTGACTGTTTGAAGTTATGACAGTGCTGAAAAAGTGACTTACAAGTATTTCTCACATTTACGACCATGCAGTGACCTGCTGTCCTAATCCTAATTAGAGGACAACCTGCATTAATGTTTTGTTGTTGGCCTTAAAAATAGCAGTCCTTATTTGGGATAGTAAATCCTTCATCAAATCATGAATTCAGCTCAGGCTTCATCTACCTAAGCAGATTGTACCCAAAGATATAATTAAAAAAAAGACTGTCCACAGGCAATCCAAGCCAATTTCCAGGAGCTCTCTGCAGCTGGGAGATTTGAGACACACAACCCTTCACAGGGCATCCCTCTTCCAGCAAACTTAACAAACCCAGGTCGCTCCTTAAATATCAGCAGCCTCTGACTACCACTTAGGCCTGGTTTCCTTCAGTAATTTACCTGTGAGGAGTTCTGCAAAGTCTAGTGGTTTCTTAGTGTAGTCCAGCACTCTTTTTCCTCTTGTCTTTGGATCATTAGGTCTTCTTAAGTCTTAAGTCTTCTTGCTGAAGGTTGGGGGAAAAGATTCCTGGTGTAGATTAGAATCAGCTGGATCCCAGGCATGTATGCTTACAGTTACAGTCTGCTGAATCAATGGCAGGGACAACAGGCCTTCTTCTTGGTTTGTTATAATGTGGCAGTGCAGGGTCCAAATTCTTGCAGTGAGTCCTCCTGGTTCTCTTCCTCATTCAAGGAGATCCCTTGAGATCCACCCGTGATAGAACTGTAGACATTAAAAGAGATTGTCACCATATTAGAAAGAAAGAAAAATAAGAAGTTGACTTATCTAAGTCATCTATTAGGCCTTGCCAGAATCACAAACAGAGGTTGCAAAACCATTTGCCAAAGCTGTACCAATATGACTCAGAGGACTTTTTTGGCAATGCCTTTGGTTTATACTGTATTGAATTTTGTTTCTATTTTAATCCTGTTTGTTTGTTTTTTTGGGGTGTGTGTGTGTGTGTGTGGTTTGTATGCATGTATAATATACATTGATGTTTCCTATTGGTTGCAATAGCACAATAGTTTGCAAAGAAGTACAAGTGATCAGATCTAATTTGCAAAAATCTCAATCACAACTAGATGATAGCGAAGAATTTGTTTCCTCTATGCCTTTACTGTCCTCTAACGACATCTGTCATTCAGATGTAGACAATCCAGATATGTAAGCTGTAACAAATGTAGGAATCAAACACAATATAAAATGGAAGATTTGTAAAATAGTATTGAATTAAAGTTCTTATTATGAGAACATTAAGTTTCAAGTGACAAATGCAAGCCAAAATAAAGTGACTTCGTTGGACTCTTAATTTTTTATCAGAATATTTTCTGTTAAATATTTTCTTCCTACAGGAGTTGTAGATGTCTGCACCATCCTTATCACAACATGCAATTGTAGGTGGATGTAGAATTATATTTAATTTAGGTGTAGGCCTAACATTCAAAGCATATTTAGGATTGATCGCATGCCTGGATATAGCTGATATTTAAGCATAGAATAATGAAGATGTCAGGGTTCCAAGTAACATGCCCATAGCAACAAAACTCTTGAGGCAGATAGATTCCTCAAAGAATAAGTTTATTGGATATGTCATATTGGCACAGGCTGGTGAAAACCGACTCTGATTATTCCTGCGATTTTCACCTAATTAAAAATAAAAGATTTTCACTTTCTCAAAACAATCAGTCACATGATTCAATCAGGATACTGTCCAGTTGCTAGGTGACTCCAGTTCCCTCTTTCCAAGCACCTGCAGGAATGCCCTTGGTTCCCAAGAGAAAGTATTTTGTTTTGACTACAACACCCCAACTATCTCTATTCCCCCCTCCCTGTCCCTCTTCTCCAGTGTGTCAGCACTGAAGTCTCAAAATGGCTCAGTTAGGCCAGCTTCAGGGTTTCTAAACATGCAAGCATATTAACTCAGCACTTAGTTCTAGGAATGTGTGAAACAGCAGAGAAAAGAGCCCTAATAAAAATATTAGTTTGAAAAATATCATGCATAGTCCTCCAGTGTCGTCGTCCCCAATTTCCAAATCCCTTAAGGGTGCTGGATTTCAATTGCTGCTGTTCCCTTTGGTTTGTAATGAAAAACTTCAGGATGTTGTAGTTTTTCATGAACTAATTAATTGGCAAAACACATAGCACTGGGCTATTGTAAACTTAGACAACCTTTGTACTTAGTATTAAGGTAGCAGAGAAACTTATAAAATAAGTGCCTCTTACAATTTATTCAAAATGTTCCCTTGAATCTACCACAACATCTGACTAACCCTGGATTTTAGTGGCTTCTCTATATATAGGCATATTTATGTGTAGTCCATGAATAGGTACTCTTACTGCTTTCAGGTTCATACTATGCCTACTATTTGTTATAACAGCCTTAAAAGTCTAAAGTATATCACCATGTGACTAGATTTATGCCCCAATCTGAGAAAAGCAGGGCTTAAATATTCAGGCCAATAGCTGGCAAGGAGTTAACTATATGTGGCTGTGGCAGGGCGGTCCAGTGAAGAAGGCAATAGGAAATCAGCAATCAGCTTCGAGGCACTTTTAGAGGAAGTGCTGATACAAGAAGCTGCATAAGGAAAGGTGTATAAGAGGAAATCAAAGAGGGAATCTCCATTGAAATGGTAGGTGCTCTTTCTTCCTAGGTAATTAACATAGCCCCAAGACTATGGTTAAATAGTCAGGGGATGGTGTAAGCTCTCCTCTCTGCAATAGCACTGCAATTGGGAAAAATCAGTGTATCCAGTGTAAAAGTACTCATTGTTCTCATTAGAAGAATGCATTACAGCATTTTGTCTAGATACATGCAGTCAACTCTGCGACTATGATTCTAAGGATATGAAAGAGGGGCAGGGGAGAAGTGTGGCTGAACTATGACTATCTTAAATGGCACAAAGTACTATTATAATTAGCCAGATGTGTACTGGCATGGACCTCTAGGTTATACAGCTGGATGGGAATCAATATGACTTATGTGTTTATATGCATAACCAAATGATTTGATCCAACTGGAAAAGGTTGTACTAGATTTAAGTCTGATTTAAGTTTAAAAATCATATTCAAATTCATTAATAATAAATATAGTTTAATTCTTATATTTTACTGCAATTCTAGGGAGTCTCTAATGTTTTTACCATTTGTATCTAACTATTTTAGAGTATTAAACTATTTCCTGCACAAGCCCCACTGTAATCAGGATCATGACTCAACAGGAGAATCACTGCTTTGCATGTAGTGGATCCTGAAATCATTCCTGTCTGAAACTCTGGAACATCACTGTCAGTCTATAACATCACATTGGATGAATCATGGTCCAACTTGAAATGCATAGAAGGAAAGCAATGCTAGTATACCTTCCACTTATCTGTTTGGCCCACCTTAACTAACTAATGGTTCTCAAGAGTTATAGCAGGAGAACAGGAGTGGGGAAGTGTCATTGTTTTCGTGTCTTTTTTGAAGCTTTCTCATAAGCATCTGGTGGGCTACTGTGGATAGAGTACTTTCAGACAGATGCCTCCAGCCCCTTTTTCTGTTCTGTATTAACTCTGTAACTTTGTAGGGGATTATTATATTCTAAGACAAGAGATATAAGAAAACATATCTGGAAATTTGTGACAAAGAAGTTTAATTCCTTAAATTGCTGATTTGGGGGTTTGCTTCAGCTGAGTACTCTTCCTCTCCCATTCATATTGAAGCAATGGTGCAACACATTAATAATGTCAAGAAATATTTCTTTGATATATAACTGTATCTCTTTAAATAACACTTTGATTAGATTTGACATGTTTTTTCCCTTTTTCCCTTGTTACTTTGTCCAAAGATGAGCTTATTCTTTAATAAACTCTATTCATTCCAGTGGAAAAAGTCTACTTTGGATCCTGCCAAATTTTGGCTGGTGGGGCCCACTAGAAGAGACTTTTCTTTTGTGGTCCCCATTCTCTGGAATATTCTCCTATTGGAGGTGTGGTTGCTTCCATATTCCTGGTCTTCCAGAAAAGCCTGAAAATTTGGCTCTGCTGCCGCCTGGCCTGGGGGCCAATGGCCTGCAACATTGGTTGTGGCTGATGGTGTAGAGAAGTTCCTCAGAGATCTGGAGAGGAAAACAGTAATTTCGTGACCAGAGAGAACTAAAATTTTTAACAGTCTGGATTATGAATGCCAGATACCATTGATAGTACAAAGAGCAGTGTAACAATACACGGGATACTGACTCAACCTTTATATTGGAGCAAACACATGGTTACTTTATGGGAAAGTATATAGCCTATCGTGTTTCCCTGAAAATAAGACCCTGTCTTATATTTTATTGAACCCTGAAATAAGCGCTTGGCCTTATTGCCATGCGCTCAAAAGCCTGATTGGGCTTATTATCAGGGGATGTCTTATTTTGGGGGAAACAGGGTACTATCTCCATAATATGAATAGTACATCAAGTTGAGCTTGAGTAAAAACAACTTTTTTTAAACTTGAATCTATAAGATGTTATAAACTATGAATTGTCCATTATGAACCTGCAATCACACCATAATGAGAGTGGGTTATTTTGGTCCTGTAATTTTGAAGTTCTAAATCCCGAATCCTCTATTTAAATTACATTAATAATCTATCTGGGTTAACTGATGATGTTGCAAGAAACACAAAGCTATAAGAAGCCAGAGTGGAGTCAATCTTGTGACGGATGAGAAGACTTATCCAGCAGGTTAAAGTAAACAAGAGGTTCAGTACACAAAATTTGTTTCAGACAACATCTGAGCTAGCAGTGTTTCAGGTCAGATGTGGCTAAACTGTTAACTGAGTAAGGACATTTGAAGTTGATTGAGGCACACTACGTTTGACTTCTTGAGATCTAATAGAACTCATTCAATGTATTATTCCAAGGGATATTAGAAGTCAGTACCTAGATACTTTAGGTCCTTAACAGACTCTGCATCACAGAGGTTGATATAATAAAATTATCAAGCTGAGAAGACCGATGGTCAATAAATATTCTGGCTAATTTATTGCAGAACCTGCCATGAGGGATGGAGTGAAAGACCACCTTTAAATCAGTAAAGGCAACATAGGCCACTTTAGAAGTGCTAAAGTATTTTTCAACTAAATAGTATAGAATTGGACATTGCTCCTCGGTAAAGCATCCTGATTTAAAGCTTGATTGTTCAGTAGCCAAGATATTTTCTGAGTGTATCCAATCAATGGTATAGAAATCTATAGTTTACTATTAAAAATGGAGGCTGTTGGACTTCCATTAATTTATTTGGATCTAAAGGTCATGACCGAATAGTACATATTTATTTTTCATCCACAGGCTTTGGTCAATGGGCAGTTCTGGTACAGATGGGTACATGACTGCTTTTTGCTTACTATTATTAGTTGGGGTAAGTAAGTAATCTTTAAACTTAGTGAAAATAACTTTTTGGTTTTATGCAACGAAATGAACAAATTATGCAGTAAAAAGAGAAGCAACTCTAGATTAGACGTTTTGTAACCAAAATGTATTTGTGGCTGGCTTCATTCTGATATGGGCACCATTCCAGAAAAAAATTAGTATATTGCACTGGAAATCATGTTAAACCAGATGTTTTACTTCTTATTATCAGGGACAATTTCCTGAAATGGTCACAATTGTGACATTTTGCTTGTAGCATGCAATCTTTTAGAAAGCAAAGTCTTCTTTCCTGTAGTTATCAGAAAAAAAATCATTAATGCAAAATCTTATATGTTATTTTCTAAGTTCAAAGTGGTCTTGATAAGAATAAAATGATATTTAAATCTCAAAAATTAAAAGTTTACAAAGAAGTAGCTGTTACTGCTTTGGTTAAAAAACAACAACATAAGGGTCCTTGGTGGTCTCTGAGCTTGCTTTCTTGCAGACATTCCATTATCCAAATTAACAAAGTAATGTCATCAGTGCAAAATAAAGTAAATTAGTAAATTAGTTTCATTAGTAATGGTTTCATAGGAGTGTTAAAAATCTATATACTAGTAAAAACCCTTTCCTATAACTTTTAAGTGGGGAAAAAAGTGCAACACAGGACAAAACATTTTGAACCAACGTATGTCAAATGGGCTAACTTACAGAATGCATCAAAAATTTGAGTTCCAAGACTCCTGTGGAACCGAAACCTGACAAATTTAGAAAACATTTTATGACATAAAAATGACCATAAAACAGTTTTTTATGTAATACAAGATGTCATAAAAGATTTTCCAGCTCTGATGTTTTACTGTGCTGTATAATTCAACATGGGATATTTTAAAGGCAGATACATCTCTAAATGTATCCTAGCTTTTCCGGTGATTTCCAGTACTACATTAGAAGCGCTGTTATTGTTGAAGGCATTGAGGAGAGAGGAAATATCTCTGAAAGGATGACTCAAAGAAGGGGTCAAGGTTGTCTAGTAGACTAATAAAAATAGAATGCTTATTTATTTTATTCAGAAAGAAACTGATCTCTTTTCTCTAATAAACTAAAGATAGTCATTTTACTTTATTTAAATAACATTTAAAATCATATACAATTGATTGTAGATTTCATAGATTTTGACTTGTCTAGTTACTGAATTTTTTTCAAGTCTAAGGAAGGTTATGAAGAACCAATATAAAGGCACAAAAATGAAACATTACACAAACCTGATCTATGGTTAATCAGAGATCATTCCTTTGTAAGTGATGTGTTCCTCCTTTAAGAAGTTTTCATTGCCAGAAAGTATTAACAGCAATTTTTCTATATTATTTCAGAAATGTTTCACTTGTTGAATGTCATTTAGCAAGTGTTAGGATCAGAGAACCTCTCTCTTATTATTAAACAGGTACTACAAATCACTCTGCTCTTTTCAGGGTAAAGACAACCTTGCAGTCTTTAAATGGCCTGGTACATTATTATTTCCGATAATATTAATATAGTTGTAATAACTGAAGCTTCTTCTTTCTTGATACTATTTATTAATCTGGCAGGACTCCTCTTTCATGTGGATGCCTGGACTTACCACTATGGGGCTCAATCAGACCTAACCTGGGAAGATGCACGGACATTTTGCAAGACCTGGTATACTGACCTGGTTGCAATCCAGAACAAAGAAGAAATTGCCTATCTCAATGACTTCTTACCAAAACATTCAAAGTATTACTGGATTGGGATCCGGAAAATAAACAACACCTGGACATGGGTAGGAACCAGAAAGGCCCTGACCAAAGAGGCAGAGAACTGGGCTTATCAGGAACCTAACAACAGGCGATCCAACCAAGACTGTGTTGAGATTTACATTAAGAGGGACTATGAAGTTGGAAAATGGAATGATGAGCCTTGTGGGAAGAAGAAACGGGCACTCTGCTATAAAGGTAGTGAAATATTCCATATTGAGTAGTTATAAGAGTTTCTTTATACTACTAGGCACTGTTTGCCTGATGTTCTAGCTTGAGATTAGTTTGGGCATGATTAACCCAACTCAGTTTTCTAGGATTGTTTGATGTGTTGAACTATAAATTGACAGCATAACCTGGGTTCCCCAAATGCTAGGTCAACATTTGTTTGGGTAAATTTGTGGTGCAGGGTATTGCATGAATGTAACCTTAGCACAGGAAGATAGACTGCAATGAAACTTAAATTATTTTGATGTTAAGTTTGTCCAAAGTTGGAACTGCAGCTTCAAATAATCCACCAAGATAAGATTAAACAGATACGATTTTAGAACATTACAATTGTTCATATCTAAGTAACTTTTTTGTTTAAAGAGAGAGATGCAGAGTTTCCTGCTATCAGAATTATAATCAGTCCCATGCTTATCAAGTTCCTCATGCTGCAGAAAATCCAATTACAGGTAACAAGATAATAACTGGGAAATTAGAATTTGCAATTCTGAAGTCATAGAGTCCTGGAAAAAAAAAATAGGGATACAGAAATCAACTCTGCAGTCTCTTATATATAAAAATGATGATATGAAAAGAATCAATAATTATTATGCACCTTTGCTCCTAGGGCATATTTGCACTTACGATTGAAGCTATTCCTGTATTGTGCTTATGGCCACTTAAATTTAAGATGGATCAAGAAACTTGTCAAGACTGAAAGACTCTAAAACAGCTTGCAAGCCATTCAGCCCAGCTGCAGGCTGTCACATCCTTCTAAAAAGCAATTCTTTGGCTGCTGTGTTATCTCCCTTTTGATTCAGGGGAATTTTCCTTCCTGGGCATATTTTTATATGTTCATAAATATAAACAGAAAGAGATGCACATAAGTAAAATGTAAAAGCATGTATATTTAAAAATTCAAAATTAAAAGGTAGTGCTGGGTTTCAAAACAGCAACTTCTTACATACTAACTAGGCAATGCTCTTAGCCACTATGCTATTTTAATACTAATTGTGAAGGTAGGAATACTCTTAGATTAGAGCAATTATTGCCTCAGTTGAAGGAGCATTTCTTCCTCTGGGAGTGCAGTAGCCAAGGGACTGTTGAAGTTAATCTGTAAGGAAGCAAAAGGCTCCACTAAAGAGAAGAAAAGCAATCAAGGGGACCTACAAGGAAAAGACTACTTTTCAGAGGAAAAGACTGCATCAGGAAAATACGCTTGGTATAAAATTTGCAATGGGAGATAGGTAAAGCCTGGCTCTGTCCATTTCTGTCCTCAAAAAATGGTCATTGTCTTTTCTGGCAATGGAACAACTAGACAATGTAGATATGCCCATAACTTCACTGGAAATATTCTGGAATGGTAACTCTGCCCATTAACAATCACAACAAACAGTTCATGAGGGTCATAAGAAAATCAATATAATGCACAACCAAACTAAATTGAACTTTCTTTTGTGGTTACTTCCAGATAAATATTGCAATCTCTACAGAAAATGCTAGCAACACTACCTCATTACCAGCCATTCCATAGATAGTTCAAAGGTGAAAGTGACTTTCAATGTTAAGGTTTAAATAGATATATTCTTAGCATGAAAATTATAGACATAGTTTGCCTATAATTTGGAGGTGCTTCTGACACAAATAAAGAAGTATGAAAATGCTAGCAAGAGTTCAGTTGCTAATGTAATTTTCTAAAGCATGTTCTTGAAGAAAAACATTCTGTTCTCAGGACAGAGAAATTAGTGAGGGTTTAAAATAGTAACATATTTTACTTTTTGTGACCGCCATGTCAAATATTGTCTTTTATACCATAGTTGTGTATTCATGCAGCACATTAATCTTTGATAGGTGCAAGAGTAGCAGTTCCACATGGGAAGTGAGTGGAAATGAAACCCAAAAATTGTCACTTTTTGATTTTCAGATGTTACTAATTGAGAATGATGATTTTTGTGGGTAAAATACTGGTAATACATGCCGAAGTCCCCTGTTTATCCTAGTTTACCATCACTTTTGATATGGCAGCATTACAATGGATCCCATTTGTGAATGATCACATCTTGGATTGAATGCAAGAGATATTGGTCATAAAATTCTTGTATCTGTCTTACAGTCTGACATAAGTCGTTTCCCCTTTATTGACATGGCTTTTTCTTTCAAAATAAATCTTGTAATTGGAAGAAGCCAAAAAGTTCTAAATCTTTAGTATGTTCATGACAAGAGACAGTTTGGTGTAATGGTTAAGGCCTCAAACTAGAGAGTGGAAGACTGTGAATTCTAGTCCCTTCTTAGGCACAAAGCCAGGTGGGTGACCATGGGCCAGTCACTTTAGCTCAGCCCTAGGAAGGAGGCAATGGCAAATAATTTCTGATAAACCTTGCTAAGAAAGCTGCAGGGACATGTCCAGAAATTGGACATGGTTGAATGGAAGAAAAAAAGCTCATTACGTAATTCTAATACAATTCTATTTTTTATGCAGCGTCTTGTGAACCTTCCTCCTGCAACGAACGCAGTGAATGTGTGGAGACCATTGGGAATTATACCTGCCAATGCTACCCTGGTTTCTATGGCCCTTTGTGTGAAAATGGTGAGTCTGTTGACATTTTCTTTCTATTGTGATTAAATGGTATAAAGGCAGTGACTATAAGGGGAGGGAGGCATATTCTCAGCAAAGATAACATAATTATTTCAGTTTCCATGACACAGTACTGATACAATCAATGTGATTCCCTCATGCAAGAGCAAACTACATGAAAAATGTCACGTCCACTTTGGTCCTCAGCCTTTAAAGCATTACAAGCATTTTATTTCAGCGCTATTATTTTCTCTGGGGGATAGGCTGAACAGTCTCCCAGTTATTTTTCCAAGAAGACCTTGGTCACAAAGGAAAAAATGTTTTCTCTTTGGTGAGTGGGAACTCCTATGTTATGGTTTTCGTTTAGTGTTGATGAAACCTATTGATTTTATTTGAAACAATATTTAAAGGAATTCACTGTGCTAACATTCCAAAAAACACCGCAAGTAGCATCAGGCAAGCTGCATCGGTTACATCATAGGGATGCACTGGGGGAAGAGAGCATGGTTAGCACTGAATAACCAGTTGAATTTCTTTTTAGAGATCTTTAAGTCTGATTATACATCAAAACTTTAAAATATTAAATGTAATAACAACATCTGTTTTTCTATTAAGTTATTTGCAAGCATAATGAAAAATATCAGTGACTTAAAGAAATGTCATTCTAGCAATACACTGAAAACAACAGGACATTTCAAGCAGTTTTTCCTTAGCAATGTGGATTGTGCTTTCTCATACTGCAGGTTGGGTTTATATGCTTAGGATAAAGGTTTGTCAAGAAGTGCCCTAAGATATTTTAGATCATAAGTGTCTTTCTTTCAGCAATTTTATTCAGCAGAGGAAGTGATGAGCCCATGTTTCCATAAAATTAAATATCTTGCTATTAAAATAATTGCATTATTCTTTCAGGAGCTCTTAAAATAGTTGAGGTTTTGTGTTAATGGACAATTTAGATGCCAAGCCCTTGAATTCATCAGAATTCAAGAACTTCCCTATCTTTATTGCAATATAGGAAAAACAGTTTTGTCAGTGATGATGATGGCTTAATGTTATATTTTCATGTCTTTGTTTAGCTGTAAAATGCAACAAGTTTGGCCCTCTCCATCAGGCCCTGTTCATGAATTGCACTCATCCGCTGGAGCAGTTCAGTTATAGATCTCATTGTAGCTTCAGATGTGATAAAGGTTTTATAATAACTGGCCCAGTCAACTTGCAATGTTTGTCATCTGGGCAATGGACAGCAGAAGAACCTCAGTGTACAGGTATGACCTAACATCATTGGTACCAAGTGTTGGTATAATGGATCCTTGCCAAGACCATAAATTGGTAGTGGGTTAGCTGAGCAAAAATGGATGAAGGCTTTTACAACCTTGCCATGTTTGGGAATCAGGTACAATTTTCATCTGACAATTATCCTTGTTACTTTATTATTTAAAAAATAAGTAGCAATGAAAACAAAATTTATCCAGATTGTATGGGAAAATTTGAATCTTAACCAGTAACGAAATTCATTTTTTTTTACTACCGGTTCTGTGGGTGTGGCATGGTGGGTATGGCTTGGTGAGCATGGCAGGGGAAGGATACTGCAAAATCTCCATTCCCACCCCACTCTGGGGCCAGCCAGAGGTAGCATTTGCTAGTTCTCCGAACTACTCAAAATTTCCACTACCGGTTCTCCAGAACCTGTCAGAACCTGCTGGATTTCACCCCTGATCTTAACCATATTTCCCAAACTACTATATAAACTAATTTGCTGTTATCTTTTAGATCTGTACTCCTCTGAATTCGGTATTAAACTATAAATAGAAAGAGATATAGCAGTATAAACATAATACATTAGGGCCTTTTGCTTATCAAAATGTATTTCATAGGAAAACTGTGTATAAAGACATATGTAATAGAAGAAATATATTGACCATGTATTTTGATTTTGATAATAGGCTTTAAAAATTACGTATCAATGCATAATTGAAATAAAACACTCTTAAAATAATTGCTATTTATTTATTTCATTTTCTTATTTTCCACCATTTTGCAATTCATCTTTAGTTCCTGTTTTTCTAGCTCAGATTGCTAGTTTTTGCACCATGTTCGTAGATGTGTGAGAAATCCAGTGTTAACTGTTTACCTACCTACTTTTCCTAAACGGGCTGTACTAGATCCTATAAAATTCAACAGTTTGCAGCTTCATTTGTGACAACAATAAGAAATAATTATAATTATAAAGTTAAACTTATACTAGAATACTTTTACACACTAATACTTTATAAAATAATAACGTATATGTAAAATGTGGTAAAAATAAGTGCTCTGTATATTTCAATTTGTCTCCAGTTTTCTATGTTTTCTAAACATTTTTCAGCACTTCAAATTTTCCAGAATGTTTACATCTGTTAAGGTGTATGATGCATTGTACCTGATTTCTTTCTTTCCTGCCCTTAGCTATCCAGTGCCAGCCATTAAATATCCCTGTAAATGGAAACTTCAGCTGCATTCATATCCATGGGGAATTTCATTACCAGTCTAGTTGCAACTTTAAATGCAAAGAAGGCTTTCTGATCAACGGAGCAGAGACCACTATGTGTGAAGCATCTGGAGCATGGAGTGCTTCAGAGCCAACTTGCCAAGGTTTGAGGCTTTCTATTTTTCCTCAATTCCAAGATTCTGGTGTTAGTGATGACAACTGAGTAATCATTAGTAGGTACAGCAAGAAGACAAGGAAGTTTCTGACTGATTTATCACATCCCCATTGTTACAAAATTTACTGGTTGTTCTGATGTCAGGTTTCAAAAGCCAAGATAGACATGTTGCAATTCTTTTAGAACCTGGAGCCTAGAAGTACATAGCATTACACTATGGTGTTACAGATAAACAAATAGTGGGTATATTAAGTTTGGAAAAGATCCTTTCCATAGGGCAGGTCTATGCTTTGAGAAGTCAATCAATTGATGCAATAATTTTTACTTCCATGAAAATGTGTGGCTATCCATAGAATTAAGTTAGATTTGAAAGATGTTCATTTGTGTCATGAAGACCTTTTACAATTCTGGGTTCATTGAGAAATCATCATGCTGATATGAGGAAGGCTAGGAACATTGGGAAATGTAGTAATAATTTATCACTCCCATTTATAAACATATAATCATATGAAAGTATTGTCTTTTGCATAGTCTTTTTATATATGTTTTGCTTTTATATATAGCAATAGCACTTAGAGTGATATACCACTTCACAGTGCTTTACAGCCCTGTCTAAACTGTTTACAGACTCAGCATATTGCCCCCAACAATCTGGTTCCTCATTTTACCCACCTTGGAAGGATGGAGGGCTGAGTCAACCTTGAGCCTGGTGAGATTTGATCTGCCAAACTGCTGGCAGCTGGTGATCAGCAGAAGTAGCCTGCAGTACTGTACTCTAACCACCGCGCCACCACGGCTCTTATCCTATCTATCCTATGTATTCTAATTCCAATCCCATTCTTTCTTATTTTTTTTTAGTTAAGCAATGTCAGCCAATTCAGCCACCTGCAAGAGGAATTATGGATTGTGTAAACCCAATTGGTGATTATAGTTACAACTCCACTTGCAGCTTTGCTTGTGAAGTGGGCTTTGAACTTAGTGATTCCCAGCCTTTGATTTGCAGTGCATCTGGTCAGTGGACTTCTCCCATACCAACATGTCAGGGTATGCTATCTAATGGAATTGTATGAAATCTGATGTCTAAATTTCTGTTTAGACTATTTATTTATAACTTGAGTTCAGGGGTGGGTTCTACTTACCTTTACTACCGGTTCGCAAAAGGATCGCGCGCACGTGATCGCTTCGCTTACTCATGCACCTTGCTTCTGCACATGTGCAGAATACTGATGATGATATCCGGAGCAGTGGGAGGGGCCTCCCGCTGGTTTTACTACCGGTTCTTGTGAACCGGTCCAAACCGGGGGCAATCCACCACTGCTTGAGTTGTGTCTGAAGATTTTTATAAGATCCATCTAAATGAGATTTCGATTAGTCATGAATAATTGCTCTTAGGAATTTCAGTAGATTTCAGTAGATATAATTGAAGTACAATGAATATTCAGTTAACCCATTCTTGTTTAGAATTAAACAAAGCGTAACTCCTATTACACTTTAATATTAAGAATTCCCAGATTACAATTCACTTAAAGTTTATTAGCCTTCTGCAGCTATTTACATTATAGTTCAATGGTGGAACTGATGTTGTGAACTAATTGGTGAGAAGGAGAAGACCAACACCAACGGACTCATTACTGAACCTAAAAAAATCATGTTTGTGTTTAAGGAAATCCAGGTCCTCTTAGCACAAGTACTTAAAATGTACAGAAGTTGGTTACTTGGATAAAATGACATCAGTTTTAAATCAAGTTCTTACATATAGAATATGTATATCTTCATGTGATAGGATTGATTTAAAGTGCAAATGAATTGGCTGAAAGACAGAGAACCAGAAAGCATCTGGTGGCACTTTTTCTGACCAATGAATTCTATTAAAATGAATATATTTTTGTGAGGTATACTCACCTCAAATACATAAAATGGCTAAAATAATGTACGATTTAAATTGGGGTGAACAGGGATGGGGTGGGGAGAGGTGAATACAGGCTGTGTATGCAGGTGCAAGTTAGAAGTTGCTCATGAAAGCTTTTTAATATTTGCTAGCCAGAAGAGCTGCTGCTATATTTCTGATTTTTGCCACCATAGACTAACATGATTGTCCTCCTGCAATGAAGGACAAAGATGAATTCTTTGGTTGATGTAGGATCCATTTTGCTATCATGTGACTCATCTTAAGCTCCAGATGAAACAATATATGGGTGCATAAACAAACAAACAAACAAACAACAAACAAACAAACAGTATGTCTTCCAAACCATCTTCAACGCTCTTTAAACCTGTTATCTGTATTCATCCTGACTGACTTTTCTGTTCCCCTCCTTAGCTATTCAGTGCCAGTCCCTAGAGGCACCTGCTCATGGAAATACCACCTGCGTTCATCTCCATGGGGAATTTCAGTACCAATCCAGCTGCACTTTTCTTTGCACCAAGGGTTTTCGGTTACATGGAAAAGAGGTCACTGAGTGCACAGCTTCTGGAAAATGGACAGCTCCAGCCCCAGTTTGCCAAGGTTGGGAGTTTCCTTTTAAGGCCTTCCTTGCCCATGTAAAAATTATTTTGAAAAAACAGAAGCAACTCATTTTTCAACATTTAGGAAAAGAAATGGATTCTCTTTTACCCATTAGCATTTGCACTGAAGGAAAGAAAGAAAATAGGAAACCAAGAAAGAGGTAGGAAAGAGATTCGTGTGAATAGAAGTTTTATTACAGTCACAGATCAGAATTATGGACAGGAGCCTTGTATATGCTGCATAGATAGCATAACGCTTCCCATGTGTCCAAATAGTGACAGGTCCAAAGGATGCTATACTACATACCAGTATATTATCTCAGTGAATAACAGTTAGCCGTTTAAAGGTGGATTTGGAAAATAAATTAGAATTGTTATAGGTTGATTCTCAGTATCCTCCCTTCTTCTAGACAAGCATTAAAATAAGCAAGGCTTTCTTTGCTTAAGGTATTGGAAATAATAGTCCTGGCAACCTGATCCTAGAATCTGATACATCTTCAGGGAGACCGGAGATGACCTAGCTGACTCTCCCACAATTTTTGGGGTGGTGAAAGCATTTTTGCCTTAGCTAATGATCATTAACTGATAGCCAATACATATCCTTTTATGCATATCAAGAGAGAGCAACTGACTGGTCTAGTAGTTGAAAAGTTTTTTACTTCAGGAAATTAAAAAAAATCTCTTCTTGAATGATTATCAGATCAAAATGGTACATTGAAAGCTTATGATAGAGTAGTATACTTTTATACCTACACTTACATGTCTTACAGCCCCTCTTATTTCTTTCTCTATGTATTATGACTATGACCCCAGGCTTCACTGTGTGTCTGTATCTTTCCCAACATGGCTGAAGTGATGCTGGTATTGTGTAAAATTCAACAGCTTGCAGTTCCATTTGTGACAAACATAAAAGATATTTATAATAATAAAGTTATACTTTTGTGTTATAGGCTAAATATATTTCTGTGAAGTAATATTTTTATAAAGTAAGAACATAAGTTCTTTGTATATTCCTGTTTTGTCTCCAGTGTTCTGTTTTCAACATAATAAAAGTATTGTTAATGACTTCAAATTTTCAGAATGTTTACATCTTTAGTGGTATTAAAGCAGGGGTGAAATGCTCCCAGTTCAGACTGGATTGCCCGATCTGGTAACAATGGAGACGGGTGGTTCGGAGAACTGGTAGCAAAAATCCCTGCTCCCCCCCCCCATGTCCAGCTGAGCTGCGTGATCATCAGAGGCTTTTTTTTTATTTTTAAAAGCATTTTTTCTACAACCTCTTCGGCCGAAAAAAGCTTTTAAAAGTAAAAAAAAAAAGCCTCTGATGATCAAACGGCTCAGCTAGGATTGTCAGAGGTTTTTAAAAGCATTTTTAAACAACCTCTTCGGCCGAAGAGGTTGTAGAAAAATGCTTTTAAAAGCCTCTGACGATCCCAGCTCAGTTGCCTAATCGTCAGAGCCTTTTAAAAGCATTTTTTTAATATTGATTTTATTGATTTAAAAACAAAACAATAAAAACATATACACAGGAGAAAAAAAAAGAAAAAAAATACATACAGGTACAAATAAAACATACACAACATATATAACATATGCCAGAAGTTTGTAAAAGCATTTTTAACAACCTTTTCAGCTGAAGAGGTTGTAGAAAAAATTGTTTCAAAAGTTAAAAAAAAAAAGTTGGCCACACCCACCCAGTCACATTACACTCCCCCCAAGTCACGCCCTCAGAACCGGTGGTAACAAATTTTAGATTTCACCACTGTATTAAAGCATTGTATCTGCTTTCTTCCCTTAGCTGTTCAGTGCAAGCCATTAAATATCCCCGTAAATGGAAACTTCAGCTGCATTCATATCTATGGAGAATTTCATTACCAGTCCAGTTGCAACTTTAAATGCAAAGAAGGCTTTCTGATCAATGGAGCAGAGGCCACTATGTGTGAAGCATCTGGAGCATGGAGTGCTTCAGAGCCAACTTGCCAAGGTTTGAGGCTTTCTATTTCTTCTTAATCTCCATTTTAGGATTCTGGTATTAGTAAGGAGAACTGAGTAATATTTAGTAGGTACAGCAAGAAGACAAGGAAGCTTCTGATTGATTTATCACATCCCCATTGTTACAAAATGTACTAGTTGTCATGACATTGCCAATACGGTCTACTATATTTGTAATAGCATCCTATATAATGGGATAGCCTCCATGCGTTGGAGATAATCTGTTTTGGAAGAAAACTCTTATCCCTGGCAATTTTCAGAGTTCCAGGCATTCCATAAGGCTTCTCCCTTCCAAAAAAGATGCTCCTCATGTAACATCATTTCAAAGGTTTTCACTTTCTCAGACTCTCATTTGATTTTACTTCTCCTCACTGGTCAGAACATACTGGCTACTTAACTACTCTCAAAGGTCTTGTGTTTTGCATACAAATTAGGGATACTGCTAAGTTATTTTGTTCTCTTTTTTTTAAGGAGGAGGAACCTGTGGTTAGGTAGTAGTTATAGACCAGGGGTGGGTTCTACTTGCCTTTACTACTGGTTCGCAACGGGATCACGCGTGCACGATCGCTTCACTTATGCATTCGCCTTGCTTCTGCGCATGCGCAGAATGCTGATGATGACATCTGGGGCAGTGGGTGGGGCCTCCCACCGGTTTTACTACCAGTTCTTGCGAATTGGTCCAAACTGGGGGCAATCCACCACTGTTATAGACTGGCAATCATGAATTGACTGGCTTCATCAGCAAGCCTCCCAGTATTTTCCAGCCACTGAACTAGAGAGAACATAATGTTATAAAAGTAATCCAAAAATTAATAATCCAAGCATAGACAGATGGATCTTGACAGACCTGAACACTGGGCCCTATCTAACAAAATGAAATTCAATGTAGAGAAAAGCACACATATAAACTGGGGAAAAAACAGGCTTAATAGCAGTAACTGTGAGAGGGATCTCGGAGTCTTAGTGGACAACCAATTAAATATGAGGCAACAGTGTGCGGCAGCAGCCAAAAAAGCCAATGCAATCCTAAATTGCATTAACAGAGGGATACAATCAAGATCAAGTGAGGTACTAATACTACTCTATAAAGCTGTAGTAATACTGCATCCAGTTTTGGTCACCACACTATAAAAAGAAGTTGAGACTCTAGAAAGAATGCAGAGAAGAGCAACAAGGGTAATTAGAGGACTGAAGGCTAAAACATACAATGAACGTTTGCAGGGACTGGGCATGGCTAGTCTAGGGAAGAGAAGGACCAGGGGAAATATGATAGCAGTGTTCCAATATTTGAGGGGCTGCCACAGAGAGGAAGGGGTCAAGCTATTTTCCAAAGCACCTGAAGGAATAATGGATGGAAACTGAACAATGAGATATTCAATATCTCATTGATATTCAACCTGGAAATAAGGAGAAATTTTCTGACAGTGAGAGCAATCAACCAATGGAAGAGCTTGCCTTCAGAAGTTGTGGGAGCTTCATCACTGGAAGCTTTCAAGAAGAGATTGGACTGCCATTTGTCAGAAATAGTAAAGGGTCTCCTGCTTGGGTGAGGGGGTTGGACTAGATGACCTACAAGGTCCCTTCCAACTCTGTTAATCTGTATCAGTATCTAAGCATGATTTCTTTTAAGAAAAATCCATCATAAAACTGAGCCATGCTTAAATGTCAGTATCTTTATAAAAGCTATCCGTTTTTTTTCCCAGTTACGCAATGCCACCATTTGCAGAATCCTAAAAATGGGGAGATGGCCTGCTCTCACCCATTTGCAGAATTTGCTTACCAATCCACCTGTCAGTTTGCATGTGAACCTGGCTTTCTCTTGACTGGAACAAATTCAACCTTCTGCTTGGCAACCAGGCATTGGAGTTCTCCATTACCAGCATGCCATGGTAAAGTTCCTTCTCCTCACCTTGATTTTTGTTGCTATTTTCTGCAATGAAGTTTAATGTTTTTCTGACATTGGTCAGCTCTTTCAACTTTGGACAGTTTCAATTTAAACACAATATTGTAATCTGGAAATTTCCACTTTGAAGAGCACTGATTTCATTCTTGGACTTTCTTTTGGAATGATTGGGCTGGCTGTCGTAATTCTTTCTTTCACCAACAATCTCTTTCATTCTAGTTATTGAATGCCCAAACCTGGATACTCCTCAACATGGAGAATTAAAGTGTTCCCATCCACATGGAAGTTTTGCTTATAATTCCAGTTGTGCCTTCTCCTGTGATATGGGCTTTGTACGCATTGGAACAAGTCAACTTCAGTGCACACATTTGGGAAAGTGGACTGCAGCTACACCCAGTTGTGAAGGTAAGTAGAGAATACAATCTTAGCAGTTAGATAGAGAATCCAGTGCTGTGTAGATGGTAATGTAGAACAAGAAACAGACTAAACTAGAAAGAAACAATTATTTTATCTAGTACAGATTTTTATTACTGGAGGAAAGAGATGGAAAAGGGAGGCGTGTGACTTCAGACTTGTAAGACTGATGTGTGCCCTTTTAGGTAAACCAGACATGAAACACAACTAGATAAACAAATTATATTTTATCATAAGGCTACATTAACAGAATTTTGAAAGTCTGAAGGTACAAACTTCCCTCTTTTACTTTTAACTATTTGATCCATGAGGGTGGGTCCTCTATTCATTTCTTTCTTTGACCATTAAGCCACTGGGGGCTCCTGCTTCCCCTGCCTCATTGCTTCCTAGACAGCATCTCTTCATCTTTTTCCGCAAGGTCATTCATAATTCCATTACACCTCTCATGTAACTGCAACAAGAAAAAAAATATCCAGGTGACTGTATGGACTTGACATTTTCCTTTTTGAGTTTTAAAACATCAGCTAGTTTTTTTTGTATACCCAGTGAAACATCCTTTTCCAAATTATTCTTTTGCTCTGTCATTTGTAAATCCACTTTCAGTACCATCTCTATCTTGTTAGATAAAATTTGTTCCATATCTTGTCTTTCAATAACATCTTTTGGACAGAGTCTATCCATGGAGGCAGGCATAATGACTGACACTGTGGACATTGTGTCAGCCTTCCTAATCTCTAAAAAAGATATATTTATCACAAGAAGCTTTATGTTCTTTATAATTAATTTCAAAATATTATTGTAAAAGTTTCTATATTCCAAATTTACCTGACCCTTAGTCTGTTTATAGCTTTGTAAGATCACAATCTTGTTTAGTTTTTGGTTGTTTATTTTAAATTCTTTAAATTCTTAAGTTTATGATTAATATTTTCTTTCATTCAGAATTGAAGGCAAACTTATCGGGTATTTTTCTGAGGGTTTCTAATAGCCTAAAAGTAATTTCCAAAAGTCATTAGAGAGTGAATGTTTTTTATCAGGGCAACCTGGTCTACCCAAATATGAGACGGAGCATACTGCTTCCGCTTTCACCTTTCAGCCCCAATGATTAGAGAGTGAGTTATAGGCAACTTAGTGTCCTTTAAAAGGCACCAACTATGGTTACAAGTAAGAAAGCTATTCTTGTCATTTCCCAATGTTCACACACGTAGGAGACCACTATCCTGCAGTCCTGCACTCCCCTCATGGGAAGCTGCTGTCCAAAGCATATGTAGGCAATCTCCCATTCTCATCTCTGGTTTCTCTTCAGATCGTATAAATCTTTCGCCTTTTATTCCTCCAAATTTTTAAAAGCAGGAAAGGGACCCGAGAGCAAAACCTTTAAGAAATATTGCTGTAATGCAACACTAATGAAATAGCAGTAGCAACAACTGGATTTCATCCCTCCTGCCTCACATATTTCACCCAAATCTTATTCAGAATTTTGGGAATACAGCAACGATCTAAGTGGCTCCTTGGGATATACTTTTCTATGTCACAAGAACATAGCTTGGATACCAGTAAGTTCTAGCTGTTTATTCTGAAATAAGAGTGAAGTTGCAAAAGTCAGAAGATTTGGATACGTGTGGATAAGCAATTCCCTACGTGTGTAATATAAACGCAGTACTGAAACTGTTCACATTTGAGTATCCTTGAGGCATGTCAGATGCAACTTGTGTTAATTCAAAAGCACAATCATTGAGAGATTTTAATCTAACACATCTGAAAGGCATCAGATTAGGGAAGCATGAATTGTTGGCAAGGTTGCATTCTTTCCTTTCTTCCCAATATACATTCATGAATACCAGATTTAGAGAGAGTGAACTATAGTGGCTGCTCATCTTTAGTGTAAAAGCAAGGGATGTTTATGCTGGAATAATTCTTGTGGCTGGAAAAGGTATTCACAGTGGCCATGATCTTAATGATAGTGGTATTTGACCATTGCCCCAATAGATATCTCTACATTGATAGCATAATCAATGGAAGAATGGCTCTACACGGATGATTGTAACTACTGTGGGGACAAGTGAAATAGTTAGAATGTGTGATTTTTGCTTTCAATCATCTACTTCACCTCCCAACAATGATAAGAAATGGAACATAATCATTCAGAACTCTAGCCATTTTTCAAAGTGGTCTCTTATATAAACACTATGTTGAAATGGAATAGAGCTGATGTTTTGCCTGCTGAAACCAAGGTCCTATTTTCAGTAGATATATTTCTTGTTATAAGGATCTTATTTTAGTTGAGAGGAATGGTACCTCTGCCTGAAATTTTGGACAGCAATTCTTTATCAGTTGTATTAAGCTCTGAATCATGTACAATATAATGAATTCTACTTTCTTCATTTTAAGAAAACATCCTCTGTGCTACATATTTCGTTATATGAGTACTGTGTGTGTGTGTGTGTGTGTCTGTGTGTAAGTATATGTCTATGTAGTATTTGTACCTTGTAGTCTGTTTCCATTGCTGAGTGCCTAATATTACACATATTACAGATAGTTCTCACCTTACAATGGTTCATTTAGTGATTGTTCGAAGTTATAAAGGTACTGGAAAAAGTGACTTACAATTGTTTTTCAGAGTTACAACCTTGCAGCAGCCCCATCGTCATATGATCTAAATTCAATCGCTTTGCAACTGACTCATATTTATGACGGTTGCAGTATCCTGGGGTCATGTGATCCCTTTTGCAAACTTCTGACAAGCAAAATCAATGGGGAAGCCAGATTCATTTAACAACTGTGTTACTAACTTAATAACTGCACTCAACACCTGTGGCAAGAAAGGGCATAGCTCACTTAGTTGTCTCATGTAGCAATATAAATGTTGGGCTCAATTGTGATCTTTAAGTTGAGGACTACCTGTATCACCTTTGTTAAACACCCATATATAAAGTATATGTACAGCTTATTGTATTTACAGCTTTGTTTTGTTCATTTCAGCTGCCAAGTGCCCATTTCTACACAAGCCAGCAAATGGCCATTTACAGTGTCTTCACGCTCATAGCCATTTTGCATATGGCTCCAGTTGCAACTTTTCCTGCAATGCTGGTTTTCAACTAGTTGGGCAGGCAACACTTGATTGCACCGCATTAGGAAACTGGACTCAAGAAATGCCTTCCTGTAAAGGTCAGTATTAAGTACACTTTCTGGTAAGGGATGCAGAAACTATCTGAGGCCAGCTGAGAAATGAATTGTCAAATGTAATGCTTGGCACATCTGTAAAGAAAAACTAGAGTGAATCTGATCACGCAGCCTACACTATGATAAGGGAGGCAAAGTGGGCTCACTTCTCCTTATTGCATTATCAAGCTATCATCAGCAACCTTGTTTAAGGTCACCAACTCCTGCCTGAGCATTTTGACCAATCTGCCTTAGTGTTATTGTCAACAGTCACTCATATTCATCGAAATCTTTTCCCATGGGCAGAGTTTTTTATGGTGACTAAGCTATCATATTGCCATATTATCTGGGACTCCTTTTGGTTCATTGCCTTCAAAGAAGTGGGTAGGGTTTTTCTAGATTGTCCTTCAAACATATAATGTGGACCTCTGTTCATCCTGCCTGTGGCAAGGAATAAGTAGAAGGGTGACCACTTGAATATGTTAGTTTGCTAATTCCTCCCTAAGTGAAGAGAAGCTGCCTGCAGCTTGAAGGAGCCTATGAAGTGCTCTCTTTTGAAAAGGCTACATTATTCTGTGATCCTAGAAAGCCCTCCTTTTTGGAAAAGGTGTTGAGACAGTGGCGCTGGATCAAGTACAGTACATAACACACTAGAAAAAGCAAATTTTCTGTATTCTTTTCAATCAGGTTCAGGCCCAGATAGGAGACAAAGATGACTTTTGTCGCTCTTCTAGATGACCTTGTTGGAGATAGTGTTCCTCTTCTGGTCCTTTTAGAGCTCTTTATGGCTTTTTATTTGATCTGATGATACAGAATTATATATTGTGCTACCCCAGACTATAGGAGAGACACTGATGTTTTATCCTGGTGTTTAGAGACTGCAAAGGTCTGGATGGGAGTAAATGGGCTAAAGTTGAATGGAAGCAAGACAGAGTTGCTGTTTGTACATTGGCTTCTCCACCAATCCCAGTGGTACCTCTGGATGAGCAGGTGCCACCTGTGAAATAATAGCTTCTGAATTTGGGGATTCTTCTGGTCTTATAGGCAGGTGCATGAGGTGGAGATGTAAACTCTTGTCTAGAAGGATTTTGCCTAGCTACAACTGGAGCATCATCTCCTGTATCTTACATGGTACAGGAGGTGCAGTAAATTATGCCCTCATCACCACCTGTACAGACTACCTCAGTGTGCTTTACTTGGGGCTGTCTTTAAAGACCACTTATAAATTATATCTGATCCTGAATGCAGCAGCCCACTTGTTAATCTTCAAATGCTGGGAGCATTTAACTCTCATACTACAGGCCTTGGTGTTATTACTGATTCAGTTTGAATTATAACTGAATTGTTGGTTTTAATCTATTAAGCCTTTAAAGACTTGGTATCAGTTCCTTTCAATAAATAATATCTTCAAAGTTTATTTGAGTAGTCAGCCTAGCCAGTCTTCATTATGTCCACCACATCATATTTGCTCTTCTGTGCTAAGAGATCAAGTTTATTCTATTTCCATGCCAGAAGCATTAATGCATAGACAATGAAATCCATGGAATTTATGAGCCAATTTTCTTTCCCATTTTCATTGAATGCTTTGGGAGGAAAGGAGGAGGTCCCACTTCAACAACATTCCACCTCTTATAGTGTGCATGTCTTAGTGGCTTTAACAGCTAGTTGCCGTCTAGTGATTGAATCAATTGTCATCTATCTAGGTGAGAGATGAAATAATTCATTTGATGGAACACACACATACCGTATACACACACAAAGATAATAATTGACCACCTGACTGGGAAGCATTAGCTAGCTTTGTGAGCCTTCAAACACTGTACTGGGCTTACTTTCAGAAGAGGTGATATAACTTTAATAATTAGTCTAAATTTCCTTCCACTCAACTTGCAAATTAATAAAAATAGTTAAAATACAATAAGTCTGCAATGCTGTATCTTCAAAAAAAACCTGACTCTATTAAAGTGTGATTTCAAAAACACTTATTGTTGATAAAAGACAGGAGCAGAAAGTAGCATAACTGCCTTTTTACAGTATGGAACCTGTGAGAACATAATTGAATGATATGCATTATTTGATTCATCCAAGATGATATAGTTTATTTTAATTTGTACTTGTACCTGTTTTAGCTGTTCAATGCCCACCCCTGAAAAACCCAGAGAATGGCAAAGAAAATTGCTTTAATCCTTATGGACATTTTGCATATTACTCCAGCTGCACCTTCTCCTGCAACTCTGGGTTTGAATTAGCTGGATCAGAGAAGCTGAATTGCACAGATCAGGGAAACTGGACTGGAGAGACACCCATCTGTGAAGGTAGGTTTTAGGAAAAAATGTGGGTTGAAGGCTAGAAATTCTTCATCTCTATCATGGTGGTTCATCTCCAAATTGAATGTAGTCTTAGAGCTGGTAAAGTCATAGGAGCTTCAGAAGATGAAAAATATATTCTTTTGAGGATTGCAAAAAAAATGAAAGAAGTATTTAATTTTCAACAAGTCAATTTTCCTGATTTATAGAATGCCTTTGGTTTATTTTTGTAGCCATTATATGACAGATATAAAGATACATAACATACCGGTAGTTTACTCTTACAGCACACTGCCTGTTTGAGTAAGCTTCTTGGTTTATAATTCCAAACAAGCAGCAGAAATAACAAATTTGATACCTTTCCACATCTTAACAACAGAAATATTTTCTGTATGTTTAGTTTATTACAAACATATACAACAGCATTTTTATTTTCGTTTATTGGATTTAGAAGCCACTCAATTCCCAGTGACTCTGGGTGCCTGACATAGTAAAATAATCAAAATCAAAATACAATATGAAGTAATATACCATAGCACATATGCAAATGCTCTATGCAGAACACAACATTTATTTTTCATTTATTGTTCTTTTTCCCTCTCTCTCTTAAAGGAACAATCCTGGTAAATAAGCTACAGATATACTAATTGAGACTTAAGCATTTAGCACCAAAGAAGCAGTGCTCTTCTAAAATCAAATTAAATATATTCCAGTGATAAATGATAGGTAGAATATGAACTTTCTGCAGGAATGCAAATAATTTAAAAAGCTTAAAATAAATGAGAAAGTTTCATACAAGCTTAATGCTGTTGTTTTTTTTGGCCTAGCGTCTAATATTCCCAGATGTTTCTAGTTTGTTAATTTAACGTGCAGTAGCTCATCAGTCGCTAAAGGCTTCTCCTTCGTTCGCTCTTTCTGTTATTTATTTTATTTATTTATTTTGTCAAACATGTACAAGATAACAAGTATATGTATGAACATAAACATAAACAAAGGAAGTAAATACAAATAAATGGGGACAGTAAGACACGGACGGTAGGCACGCTGGTGCACCTATGCACGACCCCTTTATGGACCTTTTAAGAAAGGAGTGAAGTCCACGGTAAACAGTTTGAAGTTGAAACTGTCAGGGTTTGAGGCTGTAACTATTAATTGCTTAATATTTTCTTCCTCCTGCCTCTTTCTGCAACATTTGTAGATCTTTCTCCTAAAGGTTTCAATTTGTTTTTTTGCCAGCTCTCAAGTGCCCTGAATTGCAGGCTCCAAAGAATGGACAGCTCAAATGCTCTCAATCTTATGGAAATTTCACATATGACTCCAGTTGTGTCTTCTCCTGTGATATGGGTTTTAAAAGAATTGGATTCAAAAGGGTGAACTGCACAGCTACAGGAGACTGGACAGGATTTGCACCATTTTGTGAAGGTCAGATAACTTACCACATTGAGTGCTATACACTGCTTGAAATGCAGGAGGGAAACATCTGCAAGCAAACAACTAAGCTCAGAGAGCTTAAAGAATTCCACAGTTCAACTACATATATTCACTTCTATTGGAGAAATTATTTAATAAATGAACGTACATGAACAAAATATATTAAAATGGTTTCCTATTCCACTTCCTGTGATTTATGGAAGACTTCTGCTGCTTCTTGGTTTTATGCCACGTGGCTGTAACGTGCGTAACTGTGAAGGAAAAAACCAGGAGCCTGGTAGTACCTTTTCCAATTAACAAATATTATTAATAGCCACATGATTTTGTGAGCTCAAGCTTATTCAGCAGAAGCACAAAGTGGCCAGACAGATGTACGATTTAAACTGGGCTAAGTTTGGGATGGGCGAAAGGAAGACAGATTATACGTAAAACAGGTTACAGGCAATTCATCATTGTTGTACTGTATTAAAAATCTAAAGTTAACAACCCATTCTGAAAATGGCTGAAACTTTTTGATGTCTGTGAGTAAAACACTTTCTCGCTCAATGATTCTAAGAATAGCAGACCTCAAAATGACTATTTTAGAAAAGCTTCATTCAGTTTAAATCCTACATCAGTCTTTGTGCATCTGATAAAAAGAGCTGTAGTCCATGAGAAAGGTGCTATCAGACTTCTGATTTTTTTGCCACCATATAACAACGTGGATCTCCTCCTATTTTAATTGTGAAGGAGCATCTAACCCTTTTTAACTTCACCTTGCAGTAAAACCATCTGCAAAAACCCTCCTTCAGTAAGTTCCCAATCCTGGGTAGGTTGGACAACACTGAAGAAGTATTGAGAGGGTTTTTTTCTTGCAATAATATCCCAACTATAAAATGCCCTTTCCAAGAAGCTTGCCTAATTACGGGTACATGTATGTTCAGGTAAAACCGTAAAAAGAGGCTTCCTGGGTCAAGCTAAATGCTGCTACCACCCAGCAGTCTGTTCCTTTATTTGATCAACTGGACATTAACATGGTAGGAATACCTTAGGCTCTGTGGTTGCAAGTGGTGGTCCCTGGACCCAGCCAAATGCAATTTGAAGGAATTGGTGGCATTGTTTCCTGAAATACATATCTACCCATCCACTTGTTCATCCTGAATCTGCCAGCAGTCAGGGTCATAGGATGACCTTGGAATTCAGTAGTACACAGGAGGGAGAATTATTCTCTCTTTCAATAATAGAATCCAAAGTCTGTACACCAAGTTTTCAGCAGCAGTAATTCTCCCCGCCCCCTCCCCCACACATTTAGATGCTCCTGCACATACAAACATCATGTACCCATTACTCTTTTTCTAATTCCAACATCAGTATCACTACAACCAATATTGTGACCTTTCTTCACAATGTGATTCTTTGATCAGCCTTTGTCCAGTTCTAAAAGATCCTGTGATGTACTTTTCTTAATTTTAATTCCTGCCTGCCCTACAGCCATAAAGTGTTCCCCCCTTCAAGAGACAGAGAACATGAAAAAGAACTGCTCCCATCCCTGGGGCCACTTCAGCTACAGCTCCACATGTCACTTCTACTGCACTGAGGGCTTCATTCTCAATGGAACGAGTAGGATGCAATGCCAACCTGATGGCCGGTGGTCTGCTGAGATGCCTGTTTGTCAAGGTACCATGATCTCTTTCTATGCAAATTGCAATCATCTGCTCCATTTTCGAAAAACAGTTGCAAAACAGTTCTGTAGAGAGTAGGGTAGGACTTTTGCCAAAGAAGTGTGTATTAGTGCTGCCCTCTGCTGGTTTACTCTAATTTTTTTTCAGAGAAAAAGTAATTTTCATAAGTCTCTATGCTTTACAGCTGTTGTTATTGTGTCCTCCTATCTTAGAAATATAATGAAGCACCTAGACAACATTTCAAAACTGAAATATTTAATTTATAAGAACTTAGCATGTTTCTTTTGACATAGTAATTGCAAAGAATAACTTAGAAAGCACTTACTAATTACGGTAATATGTTTAAAATCATTATTTTGCTGTAATTATTTCTCTAAAATGACTCATAAAGGAATGTTGAGGATTTTTAAAAAACTCATATCCTCCCCATTTTCTAAGAAAGTTTAGCTTGGCACATTTCCTCATAATGTTACTTCCAAGTGTACAAAGTACGTGAGATTTTGTTCAGAGTCTGAGGTCAAGGGCGTTTAGTTCTGATGTAAATCGATGGAGATCTGTAGAGCTGCAGAGCCAATATTAGGATATTGGAGTCTTATAAGAGAAGAATGTACTTTCTAGTTGACTTATTTCGTTTCTAATATATTGAATTTCAGAAAACGCTGCCATTTACCTAAAGCAAGTTTTGCTCTATACCGGTGGAGTCACAGCATCCCTTGTTGTTTTAATGATCTCTGGGGGTCTGATAGTTCTAGCAATTAAGCGTCTTGGCAAAAGAGGTAAGGAGATTTACACCATCTAATTGGGGATCGCCCAGTTACCTGTGATCTCATCCTCATGAGCATGAGAGTTCACATTTTTTAGTAGATATAATTATAATAGTTAAAATGGAATACAACTTTTTTTTTTTTTAATTTGATTTATATGCCGCCCTTCTCCGGAGACTCAGGGCGGCTTACAATGCGTTAAGCAATAGCCTTCATACTTTTGTATATTTATACAAAGTCAGCTTATTGCCCCCACAAACTGGGTCCTCATTTAACCTACCTTAGAAAGGATGGAAGGCTGAGTCAACCTTGAGCCTGGTAAGATTCGAACCTGCAGAAATTGTAGGCAGCTGTGTTAATAACAGGGTGCACTAAACCACTGTACTACCAAGGCTCAACTTCCCATTCCCTCCAATTTAAATGCCTTTCCAAAGTACACTTTATACCAAAAATGTATAGTACAGGTAGACCTCGACAACCATTCATTTAGAGACCATTCAAAGTTACAACAGCACTGAAAAAAGTGACTTATAACCATTTTTCACATTGTTGCAGCATTCCCATGGCCACGTTATTAAAATTCAGAACTTGGCAAATGATTCATACTTATGACAGTTGCAGTGTCCTAGGGTCATGTGATCACCTTTTAGACCTTATGACAAGCAAAGTCAATGAGAAAGCCACTTAACAACTGGGTTACTAAATTAGCAACTGTAGTGATTCACTTAATGACTGTGGCAAGAAAGATTATAAACTGGTGCAAAATTCACTTAACTCTCACTTAGCAACAGAAAGTTTGGGCTTAGTTGTAGTCGTAAGTCGAAGACAATCTGTAGTTCAAAGCCACATAATTTTAACTTCACAAAAATAGCATTGCATTGACCATAGAAAAAAATTCAGCCTTGACATTGGAATAACGCTTTTAGTGAGCCAAAACAATGTATTCAAATGGCCAGCCAGAATTCTTCAGAATTTCCTGTAAACAAGCAGCATAAAGTTGCTTAGAGAGCCATGGTGGCACAGTGATTAGAATTGAGTATGACAGACTAACTCTGTCCACGGCCAGTTTGAGCCTGACCGGCTCAAGGTTGACTTATTTATTTTTATTTATTTATTATTCAAATTTCTATACCGCCCTTCTCCTTTCGGACTCAGGGCGGTGAACAGCCAAAATCAAAACATCTATACATAACATTACAGTTAAAAATAGAGTTAAAATAATTTATAAATTTGGCCCATAATTTAAAACTTGTCAATTTAAAACCAATATTAAAAATTTAAAACTAACCCTAAAATCAAGACAGACCGGCTAACTGAAAAAAATAAGTTTTTAGGGCCCGACGAAAAGTCCGGAGGTCGGAGATCACTCATATCTCTGGGGGTAGATTGTTCCATAGGGTAGGTGCCACCACAGAGAAGGCTCTCCTCCTGGGGGTCGCCAGCCGGCATTGTCTGGCCGACAGCACCCTGAGGAGGCCCTCTCTGTGGGAGCGAACTGGCTGGTGGGAGGCTATTGGTGGCAGAAGGCGGTCCCGTAAGTACCCTGGCCCTAAGCCATGGAGCGCTTTAAAGGTGATCACCAACACCTTGAAGCGCACCCGGAAGTCCACCGGAAGCCAATGCAGCTTGCGCAGGAGAGGAGTCACATGGGAGCGCCCCGTCGCTCCCATAATCTCCCGCGCGGCCGCATTCTGCACCAGTTGGAGCCTCCGGGTGTACCCCAAGGGGAGCCCCATGTAGAGAGCGTTACAATAGTCCAGACGAGAGGTGACGAGTGCTTGAGTGACCGTGCGTAGGAAGTCCCGGTCCAGAAAGGGGCGCAACTGGCGTATCAGGCGAACCTGACAAAAAGCCCCCATGGCCACGGCCATCATATGCCCTTCTAAAGACAGCCGTGTATCCAGGAGGACACCCAAGTTGCGGGCTCTCTCCGTGGGGGCCAATGATTCGCCCCCAATAACCAGCGATGGCGTCAGCTGGTTATACCGGGACGCCGGCAGCCACAGCCACTCGGTCTTGGAAGGATTGAGTCGAAGCCTGTTTCTCCCCATCCAGACCTGCACGGCCTCCAGGCACTGGGACATCACTTCCAAGGCATCATTGGGGTGGTCTGGGGTGGAAATGTACAGCTGAGTATCATCAGCGTACTGATGGAACTCCACCCCAAAACCACGGATGATCTCACCCAGCGGCTTCACATAAATGTTGAACAGGAGGGGTGAGAGGACCGACCCTTGTGGCACCCCACAAACAAGGCGCCTTGGGGTCGACCGCTGCCCCCCTGTCAACACGGATTGCGACCGGTCGGAGAGATAGGAGGAGAACCACCGCAAAACGGTGACCCCCACTCCCAGTCCCTCCAGCCGGCGCAACATGATACCATGGTCGATGGTATCAAAAGCCGCTGAGAGGTCTAATAGGACCAGGATAGAGGAATAACCCGTATCCCGGGCCCTCCAGAGATCATCCACCAACGCGACCAATGCTGTTTCCGTGCTGTACCCAGGTCTGAAGCCGGACTGGAGCGGATCCAGATAGACAGCTTCATCCAGGTACTGGGGAAGCTGTGGCGCCACCACACTCTCAACAACCTTCGCAATAAAGCGAAGGTTGGAGACTGGACGATAGTTAGCCAAAACAGCCGGATCCAGGGATGGCTTCTTGAGGAGAGGCCTCACCACCGCCTCTTTCAAGGTGGCCGGCAGGACACCCTCACTCAAAGAAGCGTTGATAATCCCCTGGAGCCAGCCTCGTGTAACCTCCCGGGTAGCCAGCACCAACCAGGAGGGACACGGGTCCAATAAACATGTGGTCGTGTTCAGCCGTCCCAAGATCCTGTCCACGTCCTCGGGAGCCACGGGATCGAACTCCTCCCAGATAACACTCTCAAGGCCTGCCTCAGTCATCTCGTCTGAACTAACCCAGGCATTCTAACAGTCCCCTTTCCCCCAGAGTCCGCACCCCCTATGGCACCATTAATAGCAGCCGGACTAGTCTCCAACCCCCGTGGGTTTACCCCCCAAACCCACATAACCTCCCCCCCTCAGAACCCCTTAAAAGTCTATTTAAAAATGTCTTTAAAAAACCCCTCAATCACCTTTTTGCGACATGCCACCTCTCGGGGTCCCAAGATCCGTCATTAAGGTGGGCCCTCGATAACATAGAGGGCCAGGCCTGCGAGAGGGGGGAATCTCGCAGCGCAAGAAGCTTTGCCCTAGAATACATTTAAAACACTAGAGTGCTAATACAAGTTTGGCCTAGACATGGCCTAGGGGTCTATAATGATGGTTTCGAATGTCCAGGAAGCAAGACTAAGTTAATCGGAAGAGTCACCATTACCCTCTCACGGTAATGGGTAGGAGTCCTCACATTCAGTCCAGCTGGGGGAACTATCCAACCACCCTCTCACGGTGGTTGGCCATCCTAATCAAGGCAAGATGGAAAAAGTCAGAAAAAGTCCAAAACCACCCTCTCACGGTGGTTTGGCCCTACTGGCCCTGGAAAGATGAATCCCATCCGCGGCGAACGTAGTCTAGAGCTGGCTCCATCCATCCTCCCGTAACTGCCTTGTCCTCCATACAGCCAGGAGACAGGATGAAAGACAGAGCCAGGTCCCAAGCTCCGGGGTAAGAAAGTCCACATTGGCCGATAGGCCGATAACAGGGCCAGAAAAAGGGGGAGGGGGGGAGGCCATCCATAGCGACCCAATGCTTGAGCCGTCCACCAGCCTCTCCAACCCCAGGTCTTTCCTGGGGTTGTCAGCCATGTGTCCTTCAACCCCTGAGCACAATGGGGTTTAACTCCCCCATTTCAATGCCGAGGCTTGATGTTCCTCTCCTCTCCTCCAACGCCAACAGCTCTCCAGCACCATCATCAGCCGCCACCGCCCTCGACCTGGTTGCCACGCAGCAGCCGCTATTGCCACAGCGTCGTCCTCGGCGCCGGCCACACCCGAGCTTCCAGCGTACCCTAGCGCCCCCGGAACATCCAAAAGAAACCTCCAGGGGCATCCAGGGTCAGGGGGGAGCTCGCTGGGCATCACCGCCGCCGATGCTCGGCCAAACAGGAAGAAAAAACGGCGGAGCCGATGCGGCCGGGCTGTCGGCGTTCAGCCTCGGCGTTCTTCCACCCGCGCCGTCTTCCACTCACTTCTCCCCAGCCGCGAGGTTCCGGAGGGCGAAAAAGCCCTCGTCAGGCTGGGGAGAGACTCCTCCAGCTGGGAAAGGGGTTGCCGATGTTCATGGCAGCCCCAAAAGACCCCTGCCAGTCCATGTGCCACCCATCCCTAGATGCGATTCAGATGGGCGTCGCCATCTTGGGGCATGCGCAGTAACCCTTCTTAGCCTTCCATCCTTCCAAGGTTGGTAAAATAAGGACCTAGAAGATTGTTGGGGGCAATATGCTGACTCTGTAAACTCCTTAGAGAGGGCTATAAACCATAACGGAGTGGTATATGAATCTCAATGCTATTGCAATTAACTTGTTGTGGATTTAATAAGACCAACACAACTTTCAGGGTTAATCAGAGACAATGTATATTGCGCAATAGGTTCAAAGCTCTGTACATGAAGCGTTGAACAAAGACAGAAATTAGGTACAATGGTTTTTATACCCTTCTAGACAAAGGATTCTGTTAACTCAGCAGTTTATGTGATCATATACATTTGTCATTTTTAATTGACACTTCCCAATTACCGTTTCATTTTATTCTTTGCCAACAGTCATAATTCTTTTTGCCAATTACTGAAGCATAGATTCAAATTATCTCTTGTTAATATTACATGTGGTCATACTTGATCTCTTTAACCTTCATACTGTATATCACCAAATGTCTCTTATCTCTGACAACTGAGGGGCCCCTCTGAATGTTTCTACTTCAAAGGAATTCTCTCCTTTCAACTGGAGATAATTGGCTTTCCTCAAACAAGCACATTTCCTTTCTTAAAGAGGGCCCTTCAGTGATCATCCAGCTGGACCCGCATTTACCTACCTACATTAAACTGACCCTCCAGTCAATGGGAGTGGCTAAGTTTAAACCAATTATGATGACTCTACCATGTTCAGTTTATTGATATGGGTCAATCTGAAAGTCTATCTTATTCCTCCCTAACACAGATTGGTTAGTTAGAAGAGGAGCAATTGACACAATTAATAAAATCTTCTGGAAAATTGCCCTTCTGAAAAATTATGTGTTACCTAGCAGAGAGGAATAAGACTTATTAGAGGAATAACAAAAAAGTTCCCTGAACTTGAAGAAGAAAATACATGATATAAATACACTAATATTTACACCCTTGCTGCTATTTTTAACTAATGCTTACATTAATAATTTAATTGTAATATTGTAATCCATTGGAATAATCTATTTTTTTATCTTTTTTCACTATCCAATGGGAACTATGACTCCTTCAGAAGAGAAAAAGAAACTGCTAAGTCATACCAGGTACTGACTGCAATATGAAATTACAGTACATCAAATTTCTTAAATGAAGCTACAAAATAATGCAAATATGAACACTAATTCATTTATCATTGCATATGATTTTATAGATTTTATTCTACTTTGTTAAATATATGAAACACTAAGTCAGTAAAATGACATGCCTGCAAAATGAAAGATAGGGGATAGAGGGGGACTTTCTGGGGGTACCTGTGGGAATAGATGGGTGAGAGGTGGATAAGGAGATGTCTTGCTGTGTGAGTGGCTGTCTTATGTGTAGCAGGTCCTCAACCTTTTTGGTTTTGTGGACTGGCGGTTGCTTTGGTGGCAGGGGGAATGGTTTTGTGCGTGCAAGCTAATGAAGCATGCGCAAATGAAGCTTTGCAAGCTCACCCACCACTTCAATAGCCTGGTTCCCAATGGGTTGCCACCTGGTAGTGAGCCTCAACCCAGGGTTGTGGGCCCCTACTCTAGCTAATCACCTCACTGCCCAAATTAATGCAGACATCTATTCACAAGCTAAACCAACAATCAATGCTCTGGATGACCAGATTTGTAGGAGTTGCACTTGAACGGTTTTGTGTCAACTACTAACTTTTCTGTGGATTTTGTTTAGGCAAATGTTACATGATATGAATGTGTTAGTTTTTAAGGTGTCAGAAAACTTGTTCTTGTTTTTGTCTAAAATGTTGTTTCTGGAAGCTCAGTACAAAAGATGTTGCACTACTGAGAATAGAAGCAAATTACAGGATAAGTTTTTTTTTCTTCGCTCCACATTTCAAAAAGCAATTTCAAGCACTAGGAACATCACATATTAAATTAATTCTGAGATTTTCAAAACCCTAATTGTAAAGTGTGCCTTGAGGCCTTCAGCTCTATTTTCCTAAGTGACATGAATTGTACAATGATAACTATTTATCTGTTGCCTTTTAGTGAGTTGGGGGTACCTGGTACATATTCCAATTCAGCATTTGACTCAGTCTTCTAAGGTAAGATAAAAAATGCTTTATTTTGTCATGTTGATTTCCAAGGAAGGCCTTTATTGTTCTTCTCCATTCTCTGTCAGAACATTTCACAAATATCTGGGACACAATTGACCTTTGGATGGGGAGCAGAAGGAGTAGGTTCAAGGCTGACTCCTGTCCCAACCTTCCCCTGGCAATTAGATACGCTATTTGGCTATGAGCCTGATCCTGTGCAAGATAGTCCACAGCTATGAGCTTGCAAACAATGAGGTGAGGAAGTTGAGCCACAGTCAAAATGTCTAAGCCAGGAAGTAGATGAGAAACTATGAGGTAAACTGCTCTGAATCACCTATAAGAATTCATAAGCATGAGAGAAGTTGACACAAATATGAGCTATGTTAGCCTGAAATCAAAACAGTCAAAAATCCAAGAACTCAGAAATCCAAGAGAAGTAAGGTGCTGGTCAAGGAAAATGGGTTTGTTGCTACAGAATTTGAATCTGCTCCTTAATTGAGTGTGAACGCATTCTCCCTCTCCGTTCCCACTGCTGGGTGATTTTAAAGCTTTTAAAATGGGCTTTGACTATTTATTTTATTTTATTTTATTTCCATAGCTGCCTATCTCAGCAAATGATATTTTGCATTGTTTCCATTGCTAATTGTCTTCCGTGCCCATTTCACTGCCCAATATATGGAAACATATTACATACATTGAAATAATGATATAAATTATCCCATGGGAAAACAAATTATTGATTTAATTTATCACAAATTAGACAAGGTATATTTTTTATAAAAAGAAAATGCCCCCATATTCATAAACAAACATATCTCGATACCCTGACAATTTCTGCCTATGGAGATTTTCAGACATCTAGGTCATGGTTGTCCCAAAGGTGCTCAAGGGCTTGAGGTCATGAGACCAAGTGGCCTCAACGACTCTCGGAGAGACTGCCAATGACCAGATGACTGCAAAGAATATAAATTCATCTCTTCTCTACCATTCAGTCAGAACTGAAGAAGCTTCTTGGATGAGGAGTGAAACATCTTCAATGAAAAACAAAGAAAATCCAGTTGCCTTTTGAAAAAGCACCTTTGAGTCTGACAACTTCTGTGTTCCCAATGATTTTTTCCTTAAACAATTATTTCAACAATAAATCCAAAAATTTAAGTATGTCTTCAAGCCCTACAAAATTAGTTTTAATTATAACGTTTTGTATTGTGGCTTTACTCGAACTGGTGCTGCCCAATGGGTTGGATTTCACTTTCCATAAATCTCAGCCAACATAACCCAAACCTATAATTCCAGAAAACATGAGTGTAAATTGAAATTCAACCTAGTTAGAATGTGCCACATTAGGGAAGCCTGATCATTTCAGTCCATATCAGATGTAATTGCATTCTTAATCACTAGTTTGCTTATTTTTTCATATTAATAAATAAACAAGTTATTGTTTCTTTATATCCCACAGAACTCATCTGGAACACGCTATGAAGAAAAATGCTGATGCAATGGAATATTCGTACACCTCATTCAGTTCTGTTAATATTATTGATTAGGATTTGGGCTCACTGAAGTCAGAGAAAATAAATTAATATTTGAAACATGTAGCTTTAAAAGATACGTTGCATGGAGCTTCCATTCACCATGCAGCTATAGCACTTAAAGGATCTCAAAACTTACCAGAATTCATTGTTATTTATCTTCTGGCAAGATGTTCTGAAATGATCCATGTTCTTCCCGTGTTATTGGACTTTCAACTACTTATAACATTGCTAACCATTATTGCTAAGAAGATGCTGTAGATATGCCAAGAAGTCTTTTTGGGAAATTGTGGCTGATTTTCCAAAATATACTAATTTCAACACTTAAAAAAAAGAAATGTAGATTTAAAAATTGTTTCTATTTTCTTGTATCAAGATACAGATGTAAAGACATAATAAAGCTTGCTTCTTTCAAAGCTTGGTTTTCATAATAATAATAATAAAAAAGAAAAATACACAGAAGACACCTGCGCTCCATATTTTTGAAGGAGAATATCCATCTTGTGCTGGATGTGGAGGTAGTGACAGATTTTATTTTCCTGGGCTCCAAGATCCCCACAGAGGGGGACTACAGCCAAGAAATTAAAAGACGCTTGCTCCTGGGGAGGAAAGCTATGGCAAAGTTAGATAGCAAACTAAAAAGTAGAGACATCACCCTGCCAACAAAAGTGCGTATAGTCAAGGCTATGGTTTTCCCAGTTGCAATGTATGGCTATGAAAGTTAGACCATAAGGAAGACTGAGCACCAAAGAATTGAGGCCTTTGAACTATGATGCTGGAGAAGAATCCTGCAAGGCGTCTTGGACTGCAAGGCAATCAAACCGGTCAGTCCTAGAGGAGATCAATCCTGACTGCTCTTTAGAAGGCCAGATCCTGAAGATGAAACTCAAATACTTTGGCCACCTAATGAGAAGGAAGGACTGACTGGAGAAAAGCCTAATGCTGGGAAAGATTGAGGGCAAAAGAAGAACTGGACAAGTGAGAACAAGGTGGCTGGATGGAGTCACTGAAGCAGTAGGCGTGAGTTTAAATGGACTCCAGAGGATGGTAGAAGACAGGGAGGCCTGGAGGAACATTGTCCATGGGGTCGCAATGGGTCGGACACGACTTCGCAACTAACAACAACAAAAACAATCCAGCTTTTGCAGTGGCCCCTGAGACTTTACTAGAAATTGTTCACATACTGGAATTTATCTTTTTAAATAACGGCTAGAATCTTGTTTTCAAAAGCAAATGAAAGAGAACAACTCTAGGAAATTGTAAGCTGCAATCAATGACACATTCTGCACATGTAGCAAATACATGAAAACTCAAAAGTGCTGATCATATACTGTTCATTTTCAGGAGTCAAACATGTTTTATATTTTAAATGAACAATCCCTTTATAATAATTAATATGGCTAGTTATCAAAATGGTCTAAAAATCAATACTACCTCAAAAATAGAGTTTGGTCAACTATCTTGTTAGGTATTGTTAGTTGACTTATTGCTCCAACACAGTCAAATATTTCAGACTCAAACAAGTCTCACTACACTGCATTGCTTCTTTCATTGTCCATTAGTATTTACAACTAGAAAAGACAACTTTCCTAGCATGCTAAAGTAGTAATATAACAGATTGAAATCCTCACAAAATTAATTTGATATTGTCAAATCTCAGCCTGATCTATCTCATAGTGATGGAAGATATATTATGATTACAATGGGAGGATGTAAATGTAATAAAATTCATTATTTACAAATTAATGTTGTTTCATAAAAGCCGTATTTTTGTAACTTGAAAAAAAATAGGGGACAATATTATAAATATATGATTGTGATACGAAGATAGGAATTGACTTCTTTTTGTTTAAAACAAGCTAAAACAGCAGCAGTAGGAAATTGTAACGTTTAGGGATTAAAACATGTAATATTTTAAACTCTTTGCATGCATTTAAAACATTATTTATCAATTTTGTGCTGTAGTCATGTACCTACTGAGTAGCAATTGTGTTTTTAACAAACCCTACAATAGTGGAGATTCCCACAAAAGCTCCAGTATAGATCCTGTGCTGATCACCAAAGTTTTCCATAATGTTGCAAAAGATCTCTGGACAATTATTCAGTTCTTGCCATTTGTCAGAGAGATAGTTATACTATAAAATTGTTTGAATGGAATTTCTATTCATCTTTCAGGAAGTGTTGTAATTTTTTTTTCTTAGTCTGAAGCAATTTAGATCCTCTAAGCCTATGGGATATCTAGCCTTCTGAAGTGTTTCTCTCAAATGCTGTAACTGATTTTTTAATTTATATGTGTTTTGGCTTGAGTAACTTTTTCTGTGCATTTTGTTTCCAACCAATCCTTGCCTAGAGTTTCCTTGATTTTCATTATTTTTCTTAGCCTTTCTTACATGTCTAATATTGTCAAGCCAATTTATGTTCCAACAGCTGAGAACAGGACACACTCACAATAAAAAGACAATGAGTCCTTTTATATATATCTCTATTCATCACACTATACTCTTTTGAAGTGAGCAATGTTTCTGATGCAGTTAAATCTAACATCAAGATTTCAAAGGCCACGTTTCTGCTTCCAGAATGTTTGATTTGGGACTAAGAACACAGCACTTGGGCACCACTACTAACTTTAACAGTTCCTAAGTAGGATTGTTACAAAGGTATTGAAGAAAGTTAGCATCCACCACCCACCTAGAAGAATGAAATATTTTAAGAAATATTAAAAAGGCAGAATATTATATTTCCCTGGATGAGAAAAGGAGAAACATGCTCTTGGAAAGCAGCCTCCACCTTTGTTAATAGCCCCAGGAAGACTAGGCCATCTTATCTACAAGACAAAAGGCCTTCAGCTCCAGGGTGATAGGATTAGCCCTCACTCAAGATCCAAGATTCATTGACTATGCTAAAGCCTTTGATTGTGTGGATCACAACAAATTGTGGCAAGTTCTTAAAGAGATGGGAGTACCAGACCATCTTATTTGTCACTTGAGAAACCTATATGCGGGTCAAGAAGCAATTAGTGAGAACTGGACACGGAACCACTGATTGGTTCAAAATTGAGAAAGGAGTTCGGCAAGGCTGTATACTGTCGCCCTGCCTATTTAATTTATATGCAGTTCATATCATGAGAAAGGTGGGGCTAGATAATCACAAATTGGAATTAAGATTGCCAGGAGAAATATCAACAACCTCAGATATGCAGATGATATCACTCTAATGGCAGAAAGTGAAGAGGAAATAATGAGCCTCTTTATGTGGATGAAGGAGGATAGTGCAAAAGTTGGCTTGAAACTCAACATTAAGAAAAGTAAGATCATGGCATCTGGCCCTCTCAATTCCTGGCAAATAGGGAAGAAATGGAGCTAGTGACAGATTTTATTTTCCTGGGCTCCAAGATCACTGCAGATGGGGACTACAGCCAAGAAATTAAAAGATGCTCCAGAAATTAAAAGAAGCTTCCTCCCCTGAGCACCAAAGAATTGAGGTCTTTGAACCATGGTGCTAGAGAACTCTTGCAAGGCGTCTTGGACTGCAAGGCAATCAAACCAGTCAGTCCTAGAGGAGATCAACCCTGACTGCTCTTTAGAATGCCAGATCCTGAAGATGAAACTCAAATACTTTAGCCATCTAATGAGAAGGAAGGACTCATTGGAGAAGAGCCTAATGCTGGGAATGATTGAGGGGAAAAGAAGGGGACGACAGAGAATGAGGTGGTTGGATGAAGTCACTGAAGCAATTGGCGTGAGCTTAAATGGACTCTGGGAATGGTAGAGGACAGGATGGCCTGGAGGAACGTTGTCCATGGGGTTACAATGAGTCGGACACAACTTTGTGACTAACAAGAAGATCCAAACCAAGACAAAGCCATTAAGCCATAACAGGAATTGCCCAACACCCTTTCAGAACACAAGCCTCTTCATTACATCATCACCCAACAAGATTCAACCAAGCCTGGGACACAGACAGCCTACAAGTTTACCTGGACCGCCACATAGCCCTCTGGGAGTCTGACAACCAATAGGATACATTTTTGCACAGGAACAGGAAGCTCAAGGGCAGTGGTTCCCAATCTTTTTTTGGCCATGCCCCACTTAAGCATCTCGAAAATCCTGATCCCCCCCCTCCTGTGATATATAATTCTTACTATTCAAAAAGTGAACTCCTACTCACAGGAGGAAGCCTAAAAGGCCATTAACTTGGTTTAAACAAGGTTCCAATTGCCCCCATTAAAAATCAAATTGTGCCCCCCCCCCCCCGGGGGGGAATGGGCCCCACATTGGGAACCACTGCTCTAGGGCAAGGCCCAAGAGAGGGTATAAATCTCTCTCTCTCTCCACTCCAGTGGTGGGTTGCCCCCAGTTCGGACTAGTTCACAAGAACCAGTAGTAAAACCGGTGGGAGGCTCTGCCCACTGGCCCGGACGTCATCAAAGTAGATCTGCGCATGCGCAGAAGAGTGTACCCGCACATGAGTGAAGCGAGTGCGCATGTGCGTGCACGATGCAAACCGGTAGTAAAGGTAAGTAGAACCCACCCATGCTCCACTCCATGTGGTCAGCTACCCAGAATCACAACTGTTTGGTGGTTCTGCTTCACCATTAAACCATCCTTCCAAACAGTCTTCATGTTTCCAGAAAGAAAGTGTCTTTCTCCCCACTTGGAACAGAACCCAGATGGCCATTTCTTCCAACAGCATCTAAAGCAATGGCAAACCACTTCTGAAATCTTGCCAAGAAAATTGCAGGGAATCATTATGCGCCGACGATGTTAACTAGTTGGATAATGAAACGCCCTTCAAGCAAACAACCAAGCTCAGAGAGCACCAAGGATTCCACAGTTCAAGGCTGGCTCGAGCACAAAACAACAAAAATTTTAAAGCCGGGAACCCACTTGAAATCTACAAGGCTGCAAATTCGATTAAGTTCTTTTAAGTTCCTGTCTTTTAAAAAGCTGATCCAGACAACATTATTGACAGAGGAGTCTTCCAGCTCCATCGCTGCCGCTATCTTCCGCAGGGGAATCGAGAGAGAGAGAGAGAGAGACTGCGAGATCAAAATGGGGAGACGCTTAACGTTGTTTTAACGATTTTGGTCCTTCGCGGCCCCCGTAATCGAGGGGGGCGGGGATTGCGAGTAGGATGAGTGTACATACAACGTTTTTACGTAGCTCACGATCTTGGTGTTCCATCCCGGAAGACGGAGATGGCGGCGGCAATGACGGCTTCCATCGCCGGCTGGCCCTCCGGAGAGCCTAGTCTCGAATGGGGTAAGGCCGGCCGTGGGAGCGGAGAGCTCGGTGGCAACATCAAGCCGTACTTGGTCACCGTCGGCAGTAAAGGGGCTGGGGGGGGGGGGGCCGGAGGTACGTGTGGGCCGGGGGGGGGGGGGGAGAGAGATTGCCCCGGGCAGAAGAGACTTAGTGAGAGTTACACCATGTGGGGCTGGTGTGCCCCTCGTTTCTTCAATTACTACTTCTAGTTGTTCCCCCTTCTTTTAAATTCTCTCGGGGAGCTTCCTCTTTTGCTCTTACGATGATCAGCCGAGGAGACAGAGATACGTTTAAGAGAGGATCTTGGCCAAGTTTATCTAGGCATCTTCCTACCGCCGGTTTTCTTGCCATGAATTTGAGCGTTTAGGGCAGAGGGGTCCCCAACCTTGGCCACTTTAAGACTTGTGGACTTCAACTCCCAAAGCTGGCTGAGGAACTCTAGGAGTTGAAGTCCACAAGTCTTAAAGTGGCCAAGGTTGGGGACCCCGGATTTAGGGTATTTCCTATTACCTATGTCGCTGTAATCTTATAGGGCAGGTATTATTTTTATCCCTATGTTGACGTTTATTATTCCTGGAGGAAAAGAAACTTGTTAAAAGCCACCAAGGACATTTGTGACAAGAGGCTGGTGGATTTCCTCTGTTTTTCTTACAGAAGGCTCTCTCTGTATAAGCACTCTGTGAAACACTAATTAAATAAGGTTGGAACCTAACTGTTGTTTGAGCCAGAGCAAGGACTTCTATTAAAAGAAAAAGCATGTATTTATTAGCTTGATTGATGTTTTTTATACTCTGTTCTCCAACTTGAAAGGTTCTTTGGAACAGTTTGTACAATCATTAAAAGCCTTGACAGTTTCTGCCCTCAGATTTATTTTCTTACAAATGCAGTTGAGAGGAGAAAGAGAAATTGGGGGGTGGGGGGGAGAAGGAAATATACAATATCTAAGCCAGCAAATATTAATTTTATGGTTAATATAATGGCTATCTTTAATGGAAATTCCTGCTCAGGAATGCCCAAATGACATTCTTGCCTCTAAAACTGATGGCCTTGTTGCCCTTTTTGGGGGTGGGGAGAATGTGCTTAAAAATGGGGAAATGGCATGAGAAAAAAACATTGACATTATTGCACTCCTGTTATAATTGTCCACAGGTAGTTTATGACTCCATTTATAGATTGTGCAAAAATATAATAATTTTGTTTGATTACAAATAAAATACCTTCTGTGTGGCTCCTGTCAGTGGTGGAAGTGATAAAACATTCCATGATATCTGAACCAGATCTTTCTCTAACTTTTCTTTCCCAAGAATTAGACATCTTCGATACATTATGGTTTTTGTATTGAATGTATTATGTGTTAGGAAAAAAAAAGAATTCCTAGTCTTTGAGTTTCTGTAGTTTATTTAACTTAGTGAGTGTATCCAAATTAAAATAATCATGCAATTTGTAATAACATGTTGGAATTCTAATAAAATACCACATGCAAATATGCTACAGTATTATCTCATGGGCTGATGTAAGACCAGTGCTTGAAAAGTAATCTAGTTCACAATGTAACATTGTTACTTACATCAGCAGTAGTGCTTAAAGATTTGTGAGCCTATATGAATTTTAAATATTTCTCAATTTTATATGAGTTGGTTGTTTTAAATTGGTGAAAGTTAAAAAACTGAACTTATGGATCAAATCAAGATCAATATGGATCAAGTTTTAATCATTCAAAAAAAAAAAAGATAAAAGAACAGTAATTCCATTTGGGCTGAGTGAAATCTGACTGCTTTCTCTTGGTAGGTAGTTTTGTCCTGCCTCCTAGACCATCTTGCCTAGTAAGCAAAGCAGTTGGGTCCAGATGGAACTCCTAAAAGTCTAATCTTAGCAAAATGAAAAACCTCATTCTGTTTTCCATTTATTTATTTATTATTTGAACTTGTATGCCGCCCTATCTCCGGAAGGACTCAGGGCGGCTCACAACAATAAAAACAAGCAAAATCAATGTTAAAAATACCCAATAAAATTATAAAAGACCATTAAAATCCCCTTTAAAACCCCTTCAGTCCAAACCAGCCAGGCGAAATAACCATGTTTTAAAGTCACGGCTGAAAGAGCGAAGGTTAGGGGCCACCCGGAGCTCCAGGGGGAGCTGATTCCACAGGGTAGGTGCACCCACAGAGAAGGCCCGCTCCTTAGGGGTTGCCAGCCCTAGGGGTTTTCCATTACTTCTCTCCCTGTCCTTTGAAACACAGCTACTCCCTGGAAGATACAAAACAACTAGAGCAGGACTGTCAAACTTGTGGGCCAGATGCGTCACGTGCTCGCCACGTCCATACCTGGTTTAGTGAAGGGGAAAGTCCTGATATGTCACGTGATGCTGCCGTGATATCGCAAGTTTGATACCCCTGCACTAGAGAGACATTCAGCTTCAGATCATAAACATAGCGAGACTCTCTTTTGCAGCACTGGCACTATGCAGGAAGCATTGTTGAACAGTCTGCTGGTTCCTTTGGTGCCAAGTTAGAGCAGTGCTTAAAAATAGGTCAAATCAACGTCCTGACCCTAATCCTATAAAAATGTTATAGAAAGACTTGAAACAGGTAGTCCATGCAAAGAAGCTCACCAACATCCCTGAGTTGAAACTGTTTTATAAAGAGGAATGGGCTAAAATTTCCCCAAACTGATATGTGGAACTGATCAACATTTTTGAACATGTTTAGCTGCATTTATTGCTGCCCAAAGAGGAACACACCAATTCTAAAGGAAAGGTTCACATACTTTTGCCATGCACAGATAGGTAGCTTTGGATCGTTTTCCTCAAGAAATAAATGAAGAACTATAATATTTTTTTAACTAATTGGTTTACCTGGATTCTCTTTATTTAATGTTAAGACTTGTGGAAAACAGATCACATTTCAGGTCATATTTATGCAGAAATATTGATAAAAGGGTTCAGAAACTTTAAGCACCACTGAAACAACCGGGAGAGGTCATCCATTGGGATGCTGTTGATCCCCTTCTAATCTCCAATCTGAGCCCAGTGAAAGATGCAACAGATGTCCTGTCCCAGGGCCTGGAGATTTTTCAGGAACTGAATGGGGAAAGGCAGGCCAGGACTTGATTCAAACAAGACAGAGTGACTCTTAATTGAAGAACTTTCTGATTCCAGAATTATACCATCTTTGACTCTTGAAAGGGTTGTGGTCCTTTGAGTTCATAGTTTCATTCATAGCTCTGGGAAACCATGTGATCAGCAGAGGCTTTGCCCAGCTGGAGCTGGTATACCAGGTGACCTTATCTGAAACAAGATATTCCTGATTAGATTTCTGTAATTTGCTCTCCTTAATGTTGTCCTTAAAGACCACCTGGAAACTTCAGCTGGTCCAGAATACAAGCGCTAGCATGTTTGTTGACCAATCTTGGTATTGTAATGATGCACTATTATTATAATTGGTTGCCAGTGTGTTTGTGAATGCAATTCAATATAATGGTTGCTACCTTTAAAGCCCTCAGTGCTTAGGGCCTTGGTATCTAAGATATCATCTTTCTCAGATAGTCTCTAGTTATCTATCCCACATGGCTAGAGAGTATCTGTTAAGAGTCCTCATCTATCAGGAGGAGACCAAACATTGGATGTTTTGCTGACAACTCCCTCTCTCCCTGACAGCTTGATTCCTGAGGTGAGGATGGCCTGGAAGCTGGTAAATTTGCTTTTTCCAGAAGCCTTTGGGGGGCTGGGCTATGGGTGGGGTGTGCATATTTATGTCTGTTTTGTTATTAATTGACATTAACTGTTATAACTTTGCTATTGAAGCTTTGTTATTGAAGCTTTAAAATTTATGTTTATTATTTTAGTAAAGTCCAAGATGATTGAAGAGGTAGATATATATGTAAATAAACAACCACCTAATTTGGAAAAGAGCCCACTTCCTGAAAAGTAAATGTGCATTTATATATTTTAAACACTGAATCTTGGAATGAAAATAATTTGAAATAACATACAATAAAATTATGTTCTCCTTCTTTGTTTTGATACCATTGCAGAATTTGCCCAGTGGAATGGTCTGTACCTTATTTTTAGGAAATGAGGGAGGCCTGAATTATTTTGTTTGGTTTATATTCCTTATGTGTTTATTTAAATCCTAGAATCTCTTCTCTTCAGTGAAATTGGTGATCTCTTAGGAGAAGATGAACTTCAGCTAGATGTAGAGAATGAAACCTATGTGAGTAAGAGGAAAGCATTATTAACCTTAATTATTTTATACTGTGTACATATCCTGGTTTTTATTTTTTTCAATCCAATAAAATGCTGCAAAGAATTTTATGTCAAGGGATTTAGGATTTTGTTCAACCACAGAAAAGAAAACAGAACAGAAAATAGCCATATTTAATAGGTGGAGAGAAGTAAGTGATAGAAAGATCAACGAATGTACCAGCCTTGGTGCTATGAAATTGTTTCATGAGCTTTCTGAATTTCAGATATCACTAATTACAAGAATGCTATAAAACAAGCCTATCTTAATTTTTCTGATTAGCAACAGATGGAACCTGCTGTAGATTTAACATAAGAAATCTGAAACAATCCGGCTATTTAAATAACAGGGAATTTGAGGGCTTCTAGTCCAAACCCCTGCTCAAGCAGGAGACCCTAGATCTTTCCAGGTTGGCAGCCTGAAACAGGGGGAGGCGGGGAAAGAGAGGATGATTTTGTGGGAGGGATAGGTGCATGTGCACATGCAAGGGTGCCCGTGTGTGTAGTGACGCTCGGACGAGTGAGGCCGTAAGCACCTGCAACAAAGTTCGCGTGAGTCGGGTTGAGACTGCCAGTGGTGATGCTCACGTGAGTGGGGCCATGACAGGTCCATGACGATGCTTGTGCGAGTGGGGCTGTGACCTCCCATGACGCTTGTGGCAATGTGTGAGAGGAGTGTGCGCACCGGCCAGTCACTCATGCGGCCCAGTGGCGATTAGGCCACGGCTTGATAGTGGGCCATGGCCCACAAGTTGGGGACTCCTGCCCTTGACCATTTCAGACAAATGGCTGTCCAATCTCTTATTATTTAGCAAGCTTTAAAGGATCAAAGCATGTAGGTTGTAGAGGAGCCAATTAAATGTATTTACATCAGAAAGTAATTCCTGAAATGCTGATTATTTCTCCTGTCAGGGTGGTCATGGCAGTCAGGATGGGGTGGCGACACGGGTGTGAGCTGTTTAGGACCGAGTCTGCAGAGGGAACGAAGCCCCGCCTCCCTGCTCCAGGAGTCAGTTTTTTCGACTCGGTGGAGTAGGACAGGCGTGTCTTACAGTTTCTCCTCTTCAGACCCGGCTCTATCAGCAGAAATTCCAGCGTGAACAACATCGGAGTCCGCTGAAGACCGCTAGACGGTAGGGCAGCCGGCTGGCTGAGCCCTCGGCGCGCACGAGCCTGCTCTTCCGCGCTACAGCATTTTCGCCGATTTTCGGCTGAGGCTGCTTCTCGGGCTCTGTCCTGCAGCCGGGAGACGCTTCGGCCATTCCGCGCCGCTTTCAGCGCGCCAAAAGGAATTTGGCCTTCGCGAACTCAAAGCTTCCCTCTTGATCGGGAGCTGCTGAGCACCTTAGACATCCGGATTGGCCAGCGAGGGGCTTCATCGGGCGGCGCAGTGAGTTCGGCTTATTTTCCCTCAGTTTAAATTTTACCGCCCTTCAGGAGCTTTTTAAAATGGCGGATGCCAGTTTAAAAGTAGTTTCCCGCTCTAAGAAGAGCAAGGATAAAAGAGCTCGAGAGCCCGATCCTGAGGAGGGTTGTTCGGGCACCCAGATTTCCAAGAGGACCAAGAACCGGGAGGAACCTAGACTATCACGGGTTCGCTCCTCGTCAACTTCCAAACACACTAGAGACGAGGAGCGTCGTCATAAGGCCATGGAGAGAGCCTTTAATAAGGCCTCTTCTTCGTCCTCTGTTCGAGGGAAAGCCCAGGCCTCTACTACTTCTTCTAAGGAAGGCCGCCCAGCTGGCCAGGCCTCTTATCACTCCTGAAGCTCCTTCACTCTCTCCTGACCGATCAGCTCAAGAGGAGAGTATCTCGCTATCCGAGGCGGCAGCGGTATTTCAAGGGGGTCAAGAGGCTACGGTGGGGGGGCCTGAGCCAAGGCAGACCTCCCAAATCACGGCACCCCTGAACCAAGGTCAATCTGCTTCTCTGACCTCACCCATTGTCAATCAGGGGCAAGCTATTTCTCCGGATTTAGCTATTTTAATAGCACAATCCATAAGGCAAGGCATCGCCCAAGGCCTGCAGGAGAGGGCCTCTTCTAGGGTCTCTGAATATCTGGATGACCAGGCCCTCTCGATTCGTTCGGATCCCATTGGGACTTCTCATCATCATCACGATCGACCTGTATCTCCTTCCAAGGCCAGTCAGGGTTCCATTTCCGCTGAAGAAGAAGGGGAAATCCTGATGGATCAGGATTTGTCGGAGGATGAAGGGTTGCAGCCTGACCAACCCTCCTTCGTGGGCCTCTTTCGACCACAGATGTTTCGGTCTCTCTTATTTAAGGCCCAAACTACCACCCGCTTGGGCGTTCCCGGGTCTAAGTCTTCAGATCAAGCTTCTACATCTGACCCAACTGCAGCTTTGTTTGAGGAGCTGGCGGTTATGACCGAGACTATTCCCGCTCCCAAATTATTCTCGGATGTCTTACAGAGACAGTGGAAGTTCCCAAGCTCAGGGCCTGTGCCCAACTCCTTGGATCGACGGTTTTACCACCTAGCGACTGAATATGCCGATCTGTTACAAGTACCTAAAGTGGACGCCCCTATAGTGGCTCTCTCTTCTCCAACCCCCTTGTCAGGTCCTCCTGAGGAATCGTTACGACCTGAAGATCGGAAAGCCAAAAGGTCTCTGATTAAAGCTCACCAATCATCAGCATGGTCTGCCCAGGCCTCCTCGGCAGCCTCGTTCTTTAATAGAGCCTCGATCCTATGGCTAAAACAATTACAAAAACGCATTCCGGCATCGGATGTTCGTTCACACCAAGATTTAACAAAAATTTTAGCTGCGGTGGAGTTTTCGGCTGACGCCACCTTGAACGCGGCTCGTTTTTCGGCCAAAGCCATTGGTTCTACGGTTACTTCGCGGAGATTGCTCTGGTTGAAGAACTGGCAAGCCGATATCCGCCACAAGTGGCGCCTTGCTTCTTCCCCTTATGCAGGAGCCAACCTATTCGGGGCTTCCCTGGATCCACTGCTCATTGAAACCCGCGACCACCGCAAGATTTTGCCATCCATGTCTCGTAGGTCGGAATACCGCCAGTCTGGTTCCTTTCGTCCCTCGTCCTTTCGTGCCTCAGAATCACCAGCCTTCCAACAGCGCTATCATCGTCCCTTCCAGGCCAGAGGAGCTCCTCCCCAGGATCACCAGGTCAGACAAGGGCCCCGATTTCCCTCCAGGAGGAACCAGCGGGGGGGACGTAGTAGACCATTTCGCAGATCTCGTTAACTTTCCCCAGTCATCTGCGATTGGTGGGCGTTTAGCCCTTTTTGCCTCCAAATGGGAGTCTACTGTTTCGGATAATTGGGTTAAGAATGTAATTAGATTTGGTCTTCCCCTTGAGTTCAGATCCACACCCCCTCAGTTATATTTACGTTGCCCTGTTTCCCTGGTTCGGGCTAAGAGGGCCAGGGTGGAGGCTTCCATTAGACATCTGTTGGCCTCCAGGGCTATTCAACCTGTTCCGTCCTCGGAGTTCGGGAAGGGGTTCTATTCCCGTTTGTTTCTCGTCCAAAAGGCCTCTGGTGATTGGCGTCCCATCCTCGACCTTAAATCCTTGAACCGGCACATAACTTATCACCGGTTCAAGATGCAGTCCCTTCAAACTATTTTGCTTTCCCTTCAGGTGGGAGATTTCATGTCATCTATTGACTTAACAGAAGCCTACCTTCATGTCCCTATTCTTCCAGAACACCGTAGATACCTTCGCTTTTGTTATAATGGGAAACACTATCAATACCGTGCCCTTCCCTTTGGCCTTGCCTCAGCTCCCAGGGTCTTCACCAAGATTATGGCGGCCCTTATGGCTTATATCAGTAATCTCCCCATTAGGGTTCTTTTTTACCTGGACGATATTTTAATTTTGTCTCGTTCATCTCATCAGGCCCAACGGGATTTAGGTTTGACCCTTAGTATCTTGCAGGAACACGGCTTTTCCATTAATTGGCGGAAAAGCCACTTAACCCCTTCCACTAGGCTACTACATCTAGGGGCCATTATAGACACAGTCTCTTCGGAGGTTTTCCTGTCTCCAGACCGTATCTTGAGTTTAAAGTCTCTGGCAGCGCGAGTACAAGGACAACGCTCAACTTCCCTCCTTACCTTGTCTCGTCTGCTCGGCAAAATGGTGTCTTCGTTTGGTATCGTCCCATGGTCCAGGCTGCACAGCAGGGACCTCCAGTGGTTCCTGCTGCCCTTTCAGCGATCCCGACGGGGTTCATCAGCCGTAAGGGTGATCGTTCCCTCGCACGTGAAGCAGTCTCTCACGTGGTGGACCTCCGACAAGATCTCCAGGGGCAGTCTTTACCGCGAGCCCCAACGACTAATCTTGACAACGGATGCCAGCCTGTCAGGTTGGGGCGCACATCTAGAGAACCATCTTACACAAGGGCTTTGGTCCTCCCTGGAGTCGCAGCTGAGCATCAATGTCTTGGAGCTCCGAGCCATCTTCCTTGCGCTTCAACGGTTCCAACCTCAATTGCAGGGCCGAGACGTCCTCGTCCTAACGGACAATGTATCAGCCAAGGCCCATATCAACAGGTTGGGGGGGACGAGGTCTCGGCTGCTGATGCGAGAGGCACGCAAGCTTGGCACCTGGGCGGAAAACAACCTAACCTCTATCAAGGCGGCGCACATTTCGGGGACCGAGAATCAGACAGCGGACGCCCTCAGCCGGTCCACTATAGACCCAGCAGAATGGAGCCTCCACCCGGACCTCTTCCAGGACCTGGTGAGGTGATTCGGTCTCCCGGCCATAGATCTATTCGCCTCGGAGTCCAACCATCAGACACCTCGGTTCTTCTCCAGATTTCCGACTCCGGGTGCGGAGGCGATAGACGCCCTACGCATCAGCTGGCCTTCGAACCTTCTCTTGTACGCATTTCCCCCAATTCCTCTGATTCCTCTAGTCATCAGGAAACTTCTACAAGATCAGGCGGAGCTCGTTCTTCTGGCCCCCTTCTGGAGCCGCCGTCCTTGGTTCGCGGATCTGAGGGCTCTCTCCGTTCAACCACCCTGGCGGATCCCGGAGGATCGGATCGTACTACGACAGGGGCCCCTGATCCACCCGGATCCACAATGGCTCTGCTTAACCGCGTGGAGGCTGAGCGGCTCCTTTTGACGGACATTCCTCTTTCTCAAGGAGTCATCGCTCTCATCCAGGCCTCCAGGAGGGACTCCACAACCAGGATTTATGAGGCTACCTGGCGGTCCTTCTCTGCATGGTGTCGGAAACTTCACCAGTCACCAACGTCCGCCTCCTTGAAACAGGTTTTAGAGTTTCTGCACGAAGGGTTTGCTTCGGGCCTCTCGCCTAACACCCTGCGACGCCAAGTGGCAGCTCTCTCTACCGTCCTCTCCTGTGGTTCGAGGGATCCCATTTCTCGTCATCCCCTGGTGCGGCAATTCCTTAGGGGCGCCTCTAACGTACGCCCTCCTCCAGTTCGTCGTTTCCCGACTTGGGACCTTCCGAAGGTCCTTTCGGCTCTTACTAAATCTCCGTTCGAGCCCTTGCGGGAGGTCTCCCTCCGGTTTCTCTCGCTGAAAGTGGCCCTTTTAGTGGCTGTCACTTCCGCTCGAAGAATCTCAGAGATGAACGCACTATCGGTCCGCAAAGAGCTCTGCACCTTTTTCCCAGACAGAGTGGTCCTCAGGCTGGACCCTTCCTTCGTCCCGAAGGTAAACTCGTTATTCCACAGATCCCAGGAGGTGATTTTACCGAACTTCTGTCCCCAGCCACGACATCGTTTGGAACTCGACTGGCACACGTTAGATGTGCGACGGGCGGTCAAGATTTATCTCGCTCGTACTGCTGTCATTAGAAGAACGGATGCCTTCTTTGTGTCCTTTCTGCCCTCGTCCTTGGGACTCAAGATTTCTTCCGCAACCTTAGGCAGATGGCTTCGGGCCTGCATCTCAGCGGCTTACGTCTCTCTGTCTCTTCCGGTCCCTCGGGGCATAACTGCTCACTCCACGAGAAGCGCCTCGACTTCGGCAGCCTGGTCGACTAGGGCTCCGGTGGAGGAAATCTGTCGAGCGGCCACATGGGCCTCTGCTAACTCCTTCATCAGGCACTATCGTCTGGACTCTTATGCCTCTGCGGACGCAGCGTTTGGCAGGAGAGTTCTCCAACAGGTCCATCTGGCTTCCTAAGTCCGGGGACGGCAGGATCCCTCCCGACAGGACACAGAGCTTGGGTATGTCCCATCCTGACTGCCGTGACCACCCTGACAGGAGAATGAGCGTTGGTACCTACCTGATACGCTCCTTCTCTGTCTGGTGGGCACGGCAGTCAGCCCCACCCTTTCCGGCCGTCCCCGGTCTGGTGAATTACTTGGGGGTGGGTGGGTTACACTTACCTCTATTTCTTCATTTGTTTCCTCTAGACACGCCAGTCTGCATGGAATTCCTCGTCTCAAAACTGACTCCTGGAGCAGGGAGGCGGGGCTTCGTTCCCTCTGCAGACTCGGTCCTAAACAGCTCACACCCGTGTCGCCTCCCCATCCTGACTGCCGTGCCCACCAGCCAGAGAAGGAGCGTATCAGGTAGGTACCAACGCTCATTCTATATTAAAATATGGACTTGGAATTGGTTAAAGCATCTGATTATTGGAAATTGGGAGAAAGTGAAATATTAATTTGTAAAATAGTGTTATAGTGCTGACATGGCTAAGATGTTTTCTTCTGTCTCTATGAAACTTAAACTTGTTCTTAAAATTAAAAAGCTTTTTGAAATTTTAATTTTAAAATTTCAGGCAAGATATATGAAAAGCATATTGATGATATGTGAATTCTACTTGCACTAACATACGTAATGGACAGTAAATAAAATAGTAAAACATTTCTGTAGTGTAAGCAATTTGTATTCAATAATTACTGAGTTTTTAAAATACCTATATACCAATAACATAATAAATTAAATACCAGTGCTGTGGATTATTAAGGTAGTGTTTTATGAGGGATTATGCAACATTGATGGTCCAAAGTTTTCCATTTGTTATACCTTACTGAATGCTGGTGAAAAACAAGAGAGAACATACGTACTGCCATGAAAGATTACATTGTCAATTATTATCTTGGTAAACACTCTGTAACTATTAGGCTGTGTCCTGGAAGACATGGTTTGTTTGTGTTTGATATATGAAACATATTGTTTCAGAATTATAAAAGTAAGAAACAAAAGTGAGAAGGTAGTAAAATTGATCTCTTGATAGCGGCCTAGTATTTTTATCCTTTATTTTCAACCTACCTTCGAGGATAAAGTAAAGCAATACAGTAATTCTTTTGCAGCTGGCCACTTCAGTGTTATCCATAATCTTGCTTACTGTCGTTTATAGGAAAGCAACCTTGGTGACCTTGACTTTGATTTAGATTTGATGTCTTGGGATTCAGATGCATGGGATATTACGAAGCATATCCCAGCAGGTAATTTTTGATTGAGTTGTTTATGATAGTAAGCAGTTGTAGAATTGTATAACTCTTTAAAAGATATTCTTTTCCTCAAAGAATTTAAGCCAGGAGAGGGAAATACTGCTTATCAAGAGCAGTTAAACTAGGAAAAAATCAGTTGCTTTGGAGGCAGACTAGATGATAGGTTGAAGTCAAAGTAGTTTGCTCTAATTGTTCCTGCTTTTTGACAATTAGAGCATATGAAATATGGATTTGTAAAAAATTTAGCATTGTTAGATTAACCTTATATTATTTTTCAATTGCATGCATTCCTTGCAGTAGTAGAATATTTTTTATTTTACAAAGTAATTGACGAAATAGTTTTGACATTCTGATGAATAGGTTATTTATATATGGACAGAGTGGTGAACCAAAGTTGTAAATCTGTAGTGAATCAATAATCCCTTGTCAATCTTGAGTGAAGTACAGATAGTTCTCAATTTGATATGATATGACACAATAGCAGTGTTCCAATGTTTGAGGGGCTGTCACAGAGCGGAGGGATCAGCCTATCCAAAGCCTATCCAAAGCACCCCAAAGACTAGACAAGGAATAATAAATAAATAAATAAATAAATAATTTTATTTCTATACCGCCCTTCTCCCGAAGGACTCAGGGCGGTGTACAGCCAATTTAAAAACACAACACACAACAATAATTAAAAATTAAAATAATTACATAGATTTGGCCGATTTAAAACCCCAAACATTTAAAATACCCCAATTAAAATTATTAAGTTGATAGCTCTGCCTGGCGGAACAACAGGGTCTTCAGTGCGCAACGAAACACTCGGAGGTCGGAGATCTTGCGTATTTCCGGGGGCAGTTCATTCCACAGGGCTGGGGCTCCCACAGAAAAGGCCCTCCCCCTGGGTGTCGCCAGCCGACATAACTTGGCTGATGGCACCCTGAGGAGACCCTCTCTGTGGGAGCGGACTGGTCGGTGGGAGGCTATTGGTGGCAGAAGACGGTCTCGAAGGTACCCGGGTCCTATGCCATGGAGCGCTTTAAAGGTGGTAACCAACACCTTGAATCGCACCCGGAAGACCACTGGGAGCCAGTGCAGCTCGCGCAGGAGGGGTGTCACGCGGGCACAACGAGTTGCGCCCATAACCACCCGCGCGGCCGCATTCTGGACCAGTTGGAGCCTCCGAGTGCTCTTCAAGGGGAGCCCCATGTAGAGAGCATTACAATAGTCCAGCCGGGAGGTGACAAGGGCATGAGTGACCGTGCGCAAGGCGTCCCGGTCCAGAAAGGGCTGCAACTGGCGGATCAGGCGAACCTGATAAAAGGCCCCCCTGGCCACGGCCGTCATATGCTCTTCTAAAGACAGCCGTGCGTCCAGGAGGACACCCAGATTGCGAGCCCTCTCTGTGGGGGGCAAAGATTCACCCCCAATAGTCAGCGATGGCACCTGCTGACTATATCGGGACGCCGGCAGCCACAGCCACTCGGTCTTGGACGGGTTGAGTCTGAGCCTGTTCCTCCCCATCCAGACCCGCACGGCCTCCAGGCAGCAAGACATCACATCAAGGGCATCGTTGGGGTGGTCTGGGGTGGAGATGTACAGCTGAGTATCATCAGCGTACAGATGACACTTCACCCCAAAACCACGGATGATCTCACCCAGTGGCTTCACATAAATGTTGAACAGAAGGGGCGAGAGGACCGACCCTTGTGGCACTCCCCATGCGAGATGCCTCGAGGTCGACCTCTGCCCCCCTGCCAACACGAACTGCGAGCGGTCGGAGAGGAAGGAGGAGAACCACCGCAGAACGGTGCCCCCTATTCCTAACCCTCTTAACCGCCGCAGCATGATACCATGGTCGATGGTATCAAAAGCCGCTGAGAGATCTAATAGGACTAGGACAGAGGAGCAACCCCTGTCCCGAGCCCTCCAGAGATCATCCACCAACGCGACCAATGCCGTTTCTGTGCTGTGCCCCTGCCTGAAGCCCGACTGGCACGGGTCTAGATAGATAGCTTCATAATGGATGAAAACTAATCAAGGAGAGATTCAACTTAGAAATAACGAGAAATTTTCTGACTGAGAACAATCAACCAATGGAACAGCTTGTCTTCAGAAGTTGTGGATGCTTCATCGCTGCAAGCTTTCAAGAAGAGACTAGACAACCGTCTGTCAGAAATGGTATAGGGTCTTCAGCTTGAGCAGGGAGTTGGACTAGATGATCTACAAGATCCCATTCTATTCTAATTTACAACACAATAGGGACCAGGAAATTCATCATTAAGTGGTTCATCCTGAAGTGAGGCACCAGGCAACTGCACCCAATTTTTTTGATTATTTTTGCCACTAGCACTAAGTGAATCACCTGCAGTCATTAAACAAGATATTACATGAATGTGACTTGCTACCTCCAGCTGGTTTTTCCATTGACTTTGCTTGCCAGAAGCTGGCTCGAAAGATTGCAAATAGTAATCATGTGACCACAGGGGTCTGCAGCTGTCATAAATACAAGCCAGTCACAGCAACTGTTGTAAATGCAATCTGCTTCTCAAGAGCCCAAATTGAGATCATGTACTGCATGGATGCTACAATGGTTGTAAGTGCGAGGACTGATCATAAGTAACTTTTTTTAGCATCATCATAACTTTGAACAAGTGCTAAACAAATGATCATTTAGCAAGGCCTACTGTATTCCATGTGGAGTTCTCTCCTAGATATTGTACTGTTCGTTATTTTTGTTAATACAAAATTGAGGCTATAACTGATCAAAATACTACCAACAGACTAAGAAAATGGGCTTAAAATAACAGCATAGAATTTAATTGCAAAAAAAATTCTTTAGAAAAAAATCAAATGCTAGTTTGTTTATAGTAAGAGAAATTGTATTTTATCATACTGAGTAAAAGTTAGCAGTATGATTTCTGCAAAGTATTGTTTTCAAATCTTGAGAAGTAATAATTTTGCTCCATGTTGAATTCCTCAGACTCCATCTCAAGTACTTTTTCCAGTTTTGGACACCCCAAGGTTCTTTCCTCCAAAGTGGTAGAGGGAAGAGCAAATAAATTATATAAGAATGATTAAGGAAGGGATTGGAAACTAAATTCAAGGTGAGAGACGGGGGTATTGTGTTTAAGACCTGAAAAAGCTATAGAGACACATACATTTGAGAACTGTAAACCACTCAGAGTAACTTGGTATAGAAAATGAATGAATGAATAAATAAATATTCCTGATTATCTATGGAAGTGGAACTGTTTAATCAACTTCAGATTTAAAAGGGCTAAAAAAAGTTGAAACCCTCCAAAATGAGGGAAAATGTCAGCTTGTTCAAAAAAGCTAGTGACGTAGTTTTAATCTCTCTGAAGAAAGCTCAGTCCAAATGCCCATATAAAACAAAAAAAAGTTCCATTACTTTCATTTTATTATTAACTCAGCATTTTTTACATGAAGTGCATTCACAGTGAAATTTGCAGTTAGACTAAAAAGATTCTGTAGGCGAAATAAATTCCAGATCCCCAGTACCCTATTTATGAAGGGAAGGCAGAGTGGCTGTGATCTAGAGATCAACCATTCAAGCACTATGCTCCAATCCCCAGTGTACTGAATGTGGAATATACCTTTAGTGCCATCCTTCTTGAGAGGAATCTGTTAATTTTCTTTAATTCTTTCTATTAAAGATATAGATAAAGAGTGCAAAGTAGAACCTCTCTCACCAACTGCTTCAACAGATTCAGTTCCTTCTCCTTTACCTGTGGACTCTCCAGTACAACATGTACCTGTAAGTAATTTCTTTGGGCTAGTTAGATGCAATGAGGTAATATTTAACCAATATTCAAAATAATCTTTATTGTCATCTACTAATCCAGATGCAAAGAAACAATTGCATTGCTAGTTAACTTTTCTTTTATTGCTGGTGCTGAGTTCTTTGTAAGTATTCAGGAACCAATTAGCATTCAGAAGGAATGATGCAAAGAGTAAAGTGCCAGTTTTGAAATCCAAGGTTAGAAGACTTGCCAGAGTCGGTGAGCGAGTTCTTGATGCCAAAGATAAATTTGCCAAATCTGGAAACTTAGACGATCCATTAGATCTGCAAGTTTGTGGCCTCAACGTCATTCCACATCTCCTTAATTTTGTGTTTCTGCCCTATTCTTTTATTCACGTTATCAGCTTCTGTGGTAGTTGGTGGACATGCATACATCCCATTCCCCACCATCCAGCCAGAGCTGAAGAAGCTTCTTGGATGAGAAGCAAAATGTCTTCAAAGAAAAACCAGCAAGTCCAGTTGCGTCTTGAAAAAGCACCTTTGGGACAACCATGACCTGGATGACTGAGAATCTCCATAGACGTGGACCTGCAGAGTTTTGGATGGAAATGCAAATGATTTTTTGCCCTACTCTGTTTCCCCCAAAATAAGACATCCCCTGATAATAAACCCAATCGGGTTTTTGAGGGCATGCCAATAAGACCAAGCACTTATTTCAGGGTTCAAAAAAATATAAGACAGGGTCTTATTTTAGGGGAAACATGGTAGTTTAGAATTTTTGAGGTCTCCTATGTTATGCAAAAATGTTTTAAATGCATTATGACTAAACCATAACTGGGAAAAATAGTTTTAGCAGTGTGTATTTGTCTTTTGCTTGTTTGTTGTAACAAGAATAATTACAGTGTCTGTAATTTTTTTAAACATTGCCAGGAAGGTGTGGAGTTTGGCACTAATTCGCACTTATCCACTGCATCGTTATATGACAAACGCAGCTCCAAATCATCATTACCTTTAGAGCAAAGTGAGAAGTCCCCACCTAAAACTACATGTTCAGGTATGATTTTTATTTGCCCATTTTCCAATATGGGAATAATAACAGTGATCTAAATTAGTAAGAATAGCTAAGAATTGTGTCTTTCACTCAGTTAAATATCAAGAAGGCATTTTCATTGGTTTGCTTAGATCTTAAGTACGTTATCATTCCTTGTTTTTTGATTATGTATGCTCATATAATAGATGGCATTATTATAGAAAAGATACTTCACTATAAAGACATAATCCCTATTGTTCACATTATTTACAAATAATGTATGTGATTCAGAAACTTGCAGCCTAATAAATTGGCACTTTTAAAAACTTTTAATTAATTAGTTAATTAATTGCTACCATACTGCTTTGAGTATTAAACTGTAACGAAGTAATGTTGAGATAGTTGAGGATAATTAGGTGTTTGCCACTTTTCTTTCTGTAGTGTCTTCCTTACTTGCTTGTGATTTTTAAACAGAGGTATGCAATGATACATCAGCATCTTCTTCACCTAAAACATAAATGGTTACTGTAGTTAAGGCTATTCATTTATTTTCAAGTGTATAGAACCACTAGGCTGATAAGACTATAATGTTATTTTAAGTACACAAGCAAGAAAGGATATAAAAGAAAACCTGCCTTTGTGTGCTTCTCTTGTACAATTGAACTTAATTCGCTATTCCTTTCTGGTCTTGGCTTATCTTTCCATTTAAACTAGAGACTGTGCTTAAAGGCAAGCTGTGTTTAATAAATGGTGTGCCACTTATTTGAAGTTGGCCAGTGATAAGTTTATATCATCTTTTCTAATTTATATTAAGAATGAACCAAGATTTGAGCAAATTAAAAGCCAATACAGTTATTGCACGGAAGGAAGAGAAGGGAGTGTGCAAATGCCAGGTTTTACTTTGTTTGATCCCAGCTGATATATTTGAACCAGCCCATATATTACAAATAAGTAAAATGTGTAATCTTTAAATGCAGGTTTGATCCCTGGTTGTGTTTTACAATTTGCTTCATTTAATGAAGTTCCTCTTCCTGCCCTCCTTGTTGTCAGAACTTCTATTTCTATTGACCTGCAGACAATTGCATGAGGAAGAATATAACCTTAAAAAAAAAACTATCATATTTTTTGGAATATAAGACGCACTTTTTGCCCCCGTAAGAGGGTGAAAATTTGGATGCGTCTTATACACCGAGTGTAGCCCAGCCGGCCCCCATCCTTTGGCCTCTGCCTCCCAGCAACTTTCCTTGTTGCAGCAAATAGCTCATTTCAGCTTCAGCACAGCCTGATTAGCACAAGCAGCTGATTGTCAGCTGGATCGGCCTCCCGACAATCAGCTGTTTCAGGCTTCAGGGATTGCCATGGCCTATTGCCGCGTGGGCCTCCGCTGTTTGCTGCAAGGCAGATTTTTTTTCTTGTGCTAATCAGGCTGTGCTGAAAATGAAACTAAAGCAGGCTGTTTGCTGTTTGCTGCAAGGAGGCAAATTGCTGGGAGGCAGAAGTAGATTTTTTTTTCCTTGTTTTTCTCCCCCCAAAAAGGTAGGTGCGTCTTATAGTCTGGAGTGTCTTATGCTTCAAAAAGTATGGTACTTCAAATGCAAATTCTCTTCTATAGCAAATGGATCGTCGATGACCCTTAAACGAAGTAATCCAGCAGCCTCAAAACCATTAATTCAGCCCAAGCCTCTGTTGCATGCCTTTTGTGAGACTCAGCCCAGTCACCAGGCAAAAGCCATTGTCATTCCAGCTCTTCCCACACTCCTGACGCTGCCCAAGCAGCAGCCAATTGTTACTATTCAGCCGGCACCTCCAAAAGGTATAAGGGGTAAGGTTGCAATGGGATGCATGCCAGGTCTGTTGTCGGGATTTAGCAAGTGATGTTGAATGTGTAATATATAATGTGTAATATGCAGACACTGCAATTGCCTAAGAGAGGATTGCTAAGTATTTTTACTGTAGAATTGCTTTAAATGGGTGTAGTTTTAATAGGTCCAACCTTCAAATTTACATTAGTTTTCTGTCAGCATCTAGTGGCAAGCATATCAAGTTCTCTGTCTAAAAGGGCTTTTGGGAGCAAAATTGAGGTGAAAAAAATAATTTAATTTCCAAATGGCAGGATTCTTGACCTCTAATTACTGGTAGTCCTTGCTTACCTATTGTTCATTCAGTGACTGTTCAAAGTTACAATGGCACTGAATAATGCGACACAACTGACCCTTGAAGTTGCAGATGTCACACTGCCCAGCACTCGTGATTGTGATTTGGATGTTTATTTATTTATTATTTATTTATTAGATTTTTATACCGCCCCCTCTCCCGAAGGACTCGGGGCGGTGAACAGCGAAAATTAAAAAACATACAATATAAATAATTAAAATACGTTTAAAACAGAATTAAATCTAAAATGGCTCCCCAATTTAAAACGCCTTACCCATACCCCTATAAATAAGACGAATTTAAAATTTAAAAATTTAAAATTTCCACATTTAAAAAGGGGGAAGATTTAGGCCAGGCCAGCTTGATAAAATAGAAAAGTCTTAAGCGCGCGGTGGAAGGTGCGCAGATCCGGGATCCTACGTATCTCCGGGGGGAGCTCGTTCCAAATCGTAGGTGCCCCCACAGAGAAGGCTCTCCCCCTAGGGGCCGACAGCCGACATTGTTTGGCCGACGGCACCTGGAGGAGCCCCTCTCTATGGGAGCGTACTGGCCGGTGGGAGGCTATTGGTGGTAGCAGGCGGTCCCGTAAATAACCAGGTCCTAAGCCATGGAGCGCTTTAAAGGTGATAACCAGAACCTTGAAGCGCACTCGGAAGACCACCGGGAGCCAGTGCAGCTCGCGCAGGAGAGGTGTCACATGGGAACTCCATGTCGCTCCCATCACCACCCGCGCGGCCGCACTCTGCGCCAGTTGGAGCCTCCGAGTGCACCTCAAGGGAGCCCCATGTAGAGAGCGTTGCAGTAGTCCAGACGAGAAGTAACGAGGGCATGAGTGACTGTGTGTAGGGAGTCCCGATCTAGATAGGGACGCAACTGGCGGATCAGGCGAACCTGATGAAAAATCCTCCCGGACATGGCCGTCACATGCTCTTCTAACGACAGCTGTGAATCCAGGAGGACACCCAGGTTGCGGGCCCTATCCGTGGGGGCCAATGATTCGCCCCCAATAGTCAGCGATGGCACTACCTGACTATATCGGGACGTCGGAAACCACAGCCACTCGGTCTTGGATGGGTTGAGCCTGAGCCTGTTCCTCCCCATCCAGATCCGTACGGCCTCCAGGCACTGGGACATCACTTCAAGGGCATCGTTGGGGTGGTCCGGGGTGGAGATGTACAGCTGGGTGTCATCTGCGTACTGATGGTACTTCACCCCAAAACCATGGATGATCTCGCCCAGCGGCTTTACATAAATGTTGAACAAAAGGGGCGAGAGGACCGATCCCTGCGGCACCCCACATATGAGGGGCCTCGGGGTCGACCTCTGCCCCCCTGTCAACACAGACTGCGACCGGTCGGAGAGAAAGGAGGAGAACCACCTTAGTACGGTGCCTCCCACCCCCAACTCTTCCAACCGGTGCAGCATGATACCATGGTCGATGGTATCAAAAGCCGCTGAGAGATCTAACAGGACCAGGACAGAGGAGCAGCCCCTGTCCCGAGCCCTCCAGAGATCATCAACCAACGCGACCAATGCCGTTTCCGTGCTGTACCCAGGCCTGAAACCCGACTGGAACGGATCCAGATACGACGCTTCATCCAGGTACTGGGGAAGCTGTCCCGCAACCACACTCTCAACAACCTTCGCCACAAAACGAAGGTTGGAGACTGGACGATAATTAGCCAATATTGCCGGGTCCAGGGAAGGCTTCTTGAGGAGGGGCCTCACCACCGCCTCCTTAAGGGCGGCGGGGAAGACACCCTCACCCAATGAAGCATTTATAATCCCCTGGAGCCAGCCTCGCGTCACCTCCCGGGAAGCCAGCACTAACCAGGAGGGACACGGGTCCAACAAACATGTGGTCGCGTTCAATCTACCCAGAATCCTGTCCACGTCATCTGGGGTCACAGGATCAAACTCATCCCAGATAACAGTCTCAAGACCTGCCTCCGTCACTCGCTGGATCTACCCAGTCAGAGTCCAGACCTTCCCGAATCTGAGTGATTTTGTCATACAGATACTGAACAAAGTCCTCGGCTCTTCCCTCCAAGGGGTCCTCCCGCGCTTCCTGGTGGAGCAGGGAGCGGGTCACCCTAAACAGGGCGGCCGGGCGATTTTTTATTTTTTTTTTTAAATTTGATTTATATGCCGCCCTTCTCCGAAGACTCAGGGCGGCTTACAATGTGCTCAGCAATAGCCTTCATCCTTTTGTATATTTATACAAAGTCAGCTTATTGCCCCCACAAACTGGGTCCTCATTTCACCTACCTTAGAAAGGATGGAAGGCTGAGTCAACCTTGAGCCTTGGCGAGATTCGAACCCTGCAGTAATTGCAGGCAGCTGGTCTTAATAAGCTTAATAACAGGGTGCCTTAAACCCCTGTAGTACCAAGGCTCTTTTTTGATTATCTGATGACGCAATAAGAACAGCAAAATACGTACATTTTGCTGCTTTTATCGCCACTAGGTAAGTCCTAATATGGGATCTAACCAGTGTCCGGTCCGATTCAGAAAGACTAGCTCTCCAACTACTCTCTAGGCGTCTTTTCTGGCGCTTCATCTCCCTCAGCTCCTCGGTAAACCAAGGAGCCAGGCGAGATCCGCGCCGGGTCAGAGGCCGCAAAGGCACGACTCGATCCAGGGCCCCAGCGGCCGCCCTATCCCAGGCGGCCACTAGGTCTCCAGTCGAGGCGTGAGCCAGAACCTCAGGAATTGGCCCAAGCTCCGTCTGGAACCTATCGGGTTCCATCAGGCGCCTGGGGCGGTACCATCTTATCGGTTCTGCCTTCCTGCAGCGGGGTGCCGCGGTACGAAGGTCAAGGCGAAGGAGAGAGTGATCCGACCATGACAAGGGCTCGATGACTACATCCCCTATCTCAAGATCACTCAACCACTGTCCAGAGACAATAACCAAGTCCAGTGTGTTTCCCCCAGTGTGCATAGGGCCATGAATTAGTTGGGTCAGATCCATGGCCGTCATGGAAGCCATGAACTCCTGAGCCACCTCAGACGTCTCACCCACCGACGGCAGGTTGAAATCCCCCATGACCATAAGTCTGGGGGTATCAACCGCCACCGCGGCGATAACGTTGAGTAGCTCAGGCAGGGTTGCTGCCACGCGGCAGGGAGCCAGGTACATGATCAGCAAGCCCATCTGAACCCCCTGGCCCCACTTCACAAGGAGGGACTCACAACCAGCTGTCTGAGGTAAAGTGGTCTCCCTGGGCCTAAGGCCTTCTCTAATAATAACCGCTACTCCCCCGCCCCTCCCCTGTGACCTCGGATATGTTTGGCGACTGGCACATATTTATAATGATACCAACATCCCGTAGCCACATAATCATCACTTGCAACCCTTACAGTCGGCTTGTGATAAGCAAAGTGGGAGAAGCCAGCAGGGACTTGCAAGTTACAGTTAAATGATGTTGCGCTTAATGACACATGGTGATTCATTTAACAATCACAGCTGGAACTGTAAAACTGCCATCATAAATTGGGCATGGTCATTTGATATTTCACTTTATGATTGTGGATCCCAATTGTGTTGAGTAAGCAAGGACTCCAAGATCACCGCACATGGGGACTACAGCCCCATGCTGTTGTTGCTTGCTCCTGGGGAGGAAAGCTATGGCAAAGTTAGACAGCATACTAAAAAGCAGAGACATCCCCCTGCCAACAAAAGTGTGTATAGTCAAGGCTATGGTTTTTCCCAGTTGCAATGTATGGGTGAGAAATTTGGACCATAAGAAAGGCTGAGCGTCAAAGAATTGAGGCCTTTGAACTATGGTGCTGGAGAAGAGTCTTGCGAGTCCCTTGGACTGCAAGCTGATCAAACCAGTCAGTTCTGAGATCAACCCTGACTGCTCTTTAGAAGGCCAGATCCTGAAGATGAAACTCAAATACTTTGGCCACTTAATGAGAAGGAAAGACTCACTGGAGAAGAGCCTAATGCTGGGAACGATTGAGGGCAAAAGAAGAATGGGACAGCAGAGAATGAGGTGGATGGATGGAGTCACTGAAGCAGTCGGTGTGAGCTTAAATGGTCTCTGGGAGATGGTAGAGAACAGGAAGGCCCGGAGGAACGTTGTCCATGGGGTCGCCATGGGTCGGACACAACTTCACAACTAACAACAACAAAGTGAGGACTGCCTGAATTAGCAAAAAATTGAGGATTTTTAATTAAAACATTGGGAAAGGATATTTTTTTATTTTACTTAAACATAGGAAGATGTGATTGCTATTCTTTAAAGCCTTTTTTATTTTCACAAGCAATTGTCTCCAGTGCATAAGCTCTCAGTGTACCTATAAATAACAAAGTAATATAATCGTAAAGGTAAAGTTCCCCCGCACATGCGTGCTAGTTGTTTCCGGCTCTAAGGGCGGTGCTCATCTCCTTTTCTAAGCTGAAGAGCCAGCACCAGCACTGTCTGAAGACATCTCTGTGGTCATGTGGCCGGCATGACTAAACGCTGAAGGTGCACGGAGCGCTATTACCTTCCCACCAAATCGTCTCTATTTTTCTACTTGCATTTTTTACGTGCTTTCGAACTGCTAGGTTGGCAGAAGTAACAGGAGCTCACCCCGTTACATGGTGCTAGGTCAGTGATGGCTAACCTTTTTGACATCGCATGCCAAACACGTGGGGAGCGTGGGGGAGCTGCGTGTGCGCGTGCCCACACCCATAATTCAATGACATCCCGCACCCCCGCGCATGTGCACGTGACCCCCTGCGCTACCCCTGCTTTTGGCACATGATGGCAAAAAGGTTAACAGTGGGCCCAATAGGCCCATTATTTGCCCTCCCCAGACTCCAGAGGCTTTCTTGGAGCCTGGGGAGGGTGAAAACAGCCTTCCCCACCCCCCCAGCGGCCCTCCGGAAGCCGGAAACGGCCCATTTCCTGACTTCCAGTGGGCCTGGAAGGCTCAAAAATCAGCTGGCTGGTGCGCACATGCGCGCTGGAGCTGAGCTAGGGCAACGCTCGTGCCCACAGATATGGCTCCGCGTGCCACCTGTGGCACCCATGCCATAGGTTCGCCATCACGGTGCTAGGTATTTGAACCACTGAACTGCCGATCTGATTGACAAGCTCAGCATCTTAGCCACTGAGCCACTGTGTCCCCTAATATCATCATAAGATACCAATAATAGAAGATTATAGGAAAGATGAGAAGGATTCTGTCAGAGTTTGCAGCAATCCAACCAGCACACAAGTAAATAATTCAGCAGGATTAATTTATAGAAGAAACTTGCTTATATACAATAATATAAAACATGATGCATGTATACAATACCCATGCAGCTCTTGCAATGTGGTAGCAAGTACAAGTACAAGAAGCAGAAACAGAAGCAAGGACCAGAACTAGAAGCAAGCTTATATATACAGAACAGTTAGGCTAAGCCTCGCCCAGGCTCCAAGCCGTCTCACATGACTCACAACAGATCTTGTTTCTTAGTCAGCAAACTTCCCATTGGCTGACTTGTTGTTATGGCTATACCAGCTCATAATTTCTTATACATTGACAGATTCATTATATCTCATATCATTATATTCATGATATCTTTCTGTTGCAAATATAACAAAATTAACAGTACATTGGAAGTGGAATGGCTGGCCATTAACCAATCCTGGGCAATCTATATGATCTTGTCTCCTTTGGAAAATGAGTAGAAATTTACCTACACAATATAAATAAGCTAAGGTTCGAAAGAAGTATATCTATGATTTTCAATTTTTGTTTACTTATAGCACATTGGTTGATAAGCAGCTCTGTCTAGATGTATTGCTTAAGAACAGTTTGTGGATATTTTATGTAGACATTATGTGAGTTGTTGGTAGTGGATAGCTTGGATTGATGCTGTAGAAGTGGCTCTCTGGTCTAACCTGCTCTTTTAACTATCGTATTTTTCAGAGTATAAGACGCACCAGAGTATAAGACACAGCTTAGTTTTTGGGGAAGAAAATAGGAGAAAAAAAATCTGCCTACCAGGTATTCATCTGGCTAGCGTCCTTAGTCTGGTCATCTTCAGCACATCAGTTTGCTGGTTTTGAGAGAGCCCGTGCGCTTTTTATCCCCTACTCGGGGATAAAAGATAAAGCACAGCTGATCTTTCGAGAGAGAAGCAATGAGAAAAGCAAGCAGAAGATCGCTTCGCTTGCTAGCACCTTGTTAGGGCTGAATAAAGGCTTCAAAAAAGCTACATTCAGAGTATAAAACGCACCCAAAATTTCAACCTCTTTTAGGGGGGGGGAAGAAGTGTGTCTTATACTCTGAAAAATACGGTATATACTATTTTAAAATCTAATTACAGCCTCAAAAGTAGCAAGTGATATGCTTGCTTTAGTGTGTGGTATTTAAATGAAGGAATCTTCAGTGTGCAAATGCAAGCCTTTAGGTATGACTAAAAGGAACATATTTGAATTCTTCAAAAATTACTGGTTGCCTAGGATAGAAATGTTCTAGGCCTATAATATGTTTAGTTCTATAAAGTAAAGCAATATTTTGTCTTTTTTGTACAACTATCATGAGGCAAAACATAGCATGCGTTGAAAGTAACATTTTTGATAAGTGGTAAATCACTGTACCAAAACTTTTTGTTCCTGTCTTAGGTCAGCCACTAATGCTTTCTCAGCCTGCTGTGGTTCATCTTCAGACATCTGGAATTCTTCCTGCTTCAAATCCAGCCATTGCTGTTAATGGTGGATTAAAACCATTAACAGGTCACACCATTAGGGTATTACCACAATCAGCAGGAAAGAGTTTGACCAGTGGGAACCTAGCAGAAACTAAGCCTGTTCTTCACACCACTTCCTCAAACACAAACATGGATGTAAGTTCTTCCCAGCTTCTGTTTGTAATTAGCCCTTCCACTTAGAAAGTTTATTTGCTGCAGATCTGCTTTCAGGGTGCCAAAAATGTTTTAGCCACACACCACTAATGACATAATTGACAACATACATTGTTCAGAGAGGGATTTCACCTCCCAGCAATTTAAATTTTTCTATGAACTAGCAATCTTCTAGATTTTCTACTAAAGAGAATATTGGAAGATAAGTAAGGCTTGGAAATTCAAGGGGTGACATTTCAATTGGTGCTTCTTTGCCCTTTTTATTTCTGGTGGTGGAGATAGTTCCAAGGTTAGCCCCTGAAGTATTTGTGTGCACCTATGCGCCAATGGTGGGCTTCAAATTTTTTAACAACTGGTTCTCTGTTCTAATGACTGGCTGGGTGGGCGTGGCTGGGTGGGTGGGCGAGGCGGGACATGTGACTGAGTGGGCATGGTCAACTCTACATCACTTGTGTGGGTGATACCTGTATGGGACAGGCAGGGTTGGGGAGGGAATCCAGGGGTCTCCAGTGGGGTGGGGGGGTGGGAGGAAAGAAAGTTTCAACCTGTTTGTGTGTGCGTGTACATGTGTGTGTGTGTGTGTGAGAGAGAGAGAGAGAGAGAGAATGCGTCAAGCTAGACTAGGAAAGCTGGCTGTGAGAGGAAGAGAAGCTGGGTAAGATGGACCCAGATGCTTCCCGGGTCCTCTCATCCCAGAAGCAGCAACCTCGCACTCTCCCCTCTCTGCTAGCTTCCTTCTTCGCACGGGATCGCCAGGAGTGGAGATGGAGAGGGAGAAGGGGGTAGCGGCAGCCACTAGGTTTGAGGGAAGAGTGGCACACAGAAACGGGAGCCCACAGAAACGCGTCCCCTTCTCCCTCTTCGTCTCTGTTGCTGGGCAATCCTGTGTGAAGAAGGGGACTAGCAGAGAGAAGAAGAGTGCGAGGTTGCTGCTTCTGGGATGAGGGTCTCAGGACACGTCTGGGTCCGGCTCACCTCACCGGTCTCTTCCTCTCACAGCCAGCTTTTTGGGGCCATTATCAGGCTGTTTTTTGGGCCGATTTTGGCCAGAAAAACAGCCTGACAATGGCCCAAAAATCAGCCTGAAAACTCCCTGAAAAATGGCCTGGTTTTTTGGCCATTTTTCAGGCCGTTTTTCAGGCCGTTTTTCACTCGGAAAAACGGCCAAAAACAGCCCCAAAATGGGTGGGGGCGGGCCAACTGATGGTCTGATTTACTGGTTCTCCTAACCGGTCTGAACCGGCAGCAGCCCACCTCTGCCATGTGCCCATATACTTACATATGGCTGACTATATTCAAATAGTCAGTAAACTACATGTGAAAGCTGCCAGATAGACTAGACTGGGCTAGAAATCCTATCACACTAGTTTTCTGTGTTGGAAGGCTTTTATGTTTGTTATTGTAGGGGGAATATTCAATCATACAGTCTGAAGGAGTCAGATATCACTTTAACAGAAATTAAACTACTGATCAGCTCTGCCTTTACAACTTCACATTCTTTTCAGTATCAGATGGAGTGCCAAGGAAATGCCTTGTCAGACCATCTGGTGAGCATTGGGGCAGTGAAGCTGAAATGAGAATAATTGATGCTTTATTTTTTTTCTCCAACAGCTAAATCAACATTGTGCTTAACACATTATCAATACAAGCAAAATGTCTGCAAATTACTCCTGTTAAACTGAGTAAAAACTCACTTCAATACATCATCAGTATAGAGACCAAAAAGCTTTCTCAACTAATCCATGCATCCAGCAAACAAATTCTGTTTGACCTCCAGTGGCACCACTGTATGGCTGGAAGGGGAGCTTTTAGCAACTTTGTAAAAGAGGAAGAGAGGGTAGAATAAATAGGTTTATTGAGTGAATTCAGCGAGGCATAGAGCTACTCACCTAGCCTTCTCCTTTAATCTCTGTCCATTCCTGGGAGATGCAGGGTTATTCTGGCATCACTACCACCATTTCATTACTTAGAATGGGGAAAAACTGGAATAATTGTAGCTTAATTTTATTAGTGTGATATGTTCAGGCTGCTTCCTAGGTATTACTTAACAATGGCCCAATAATAATCTCTAATTTCTCCTGGTGCTATTGTGCAATGTCACACGGATATGAGAAATTGCTAGTTCGAAAATAATTTTAAAGATACCTAATTGCTTGATTAGACAAGATTTTAAGTTTGTAAAATAATCTTAAATCTGACAGTTAAAGTACTGTCAAATACTCTATACAAGTAATCCTCAACATATGACCATTTGTTTAATAACTGAAGTTAGACAGCACTGCAATGGTTACAACCATTTACAACTGGTCCTTGCATTCATGACTGTCACAGCATCTCTATGGTCACATGGTCAAAAATCAGGCGCTTGGCAACCAGCATGTTACTTACAACAGATTTAGCAACCTGGTGTCACATGATCGCCATTTGCTATCTTCTCAGCTGGCTTCTAATAAGCAAAGTCAATGGGAGAAATCATATTCACTTAACACCTTATGATTCACTTAATGGCCATGGTGATTAGCTTAGCAAAAAAGGTCATAAAATTGGGTGCAACGCACTTAATTATGGCTTTACTGGTTAATGGACATTCTGGTCGCAATTGTGGTCATAAGTGGAGGACAACCTGAATATAGAATATTAGATTTAGAGAAAATTATATAAATTCAAGTAACAAGAGAAATGGGATCTTCTGGAATTCTTGGGAATACTTGTTTTTCTGCAATATAATGACATCCTTCCCCCCTCCCTTTTTAAAAAGAAAACCCTGTATTGTTGTCAATCGCCCTGTGTTGCCTCTGTTCCGTTGCAAATTTTCTGAGCTTTGAACAGTTTTTTCCCCATCATATCTATTATTCCCAGATGAATGTTCTAAGACGGCAGCAGCGCATGATAAAAAACCGGGAATCTGCCTGTCAGTCACGGAGGAAGAAAAAGGAATATATGCAGGGTTTAGAAGCTAGACTGAAGGCTGCTTTGTTAGAAAATGATCATCTTAAAAGAGAGAATGGTTCACTGAAGAGACAGCTAGATGACCTGGCAGTGGAGGTAAGCGCATTAATTATGAAAAAAAAATATTTCAACTTTGCTTTGCTTTACTGCAAAGGTTGTAAATGTGAGGATTGGTATCACCATAGTAACTGCAAGCAATCACTAAATGAATCAGTTACTAAACAGGAATTACCTGTAGATCTTAATAGTCATGAATAAAATAATTTGAGCAATTCCTGCTACCCTTGTCATCCAATACACATACCTTATAGAGCAATCCTTAGAACATTGATCAGGACATGTACATTTTATGATGGTTTTATAGGCATATAATTTCTCCTGTTCATTGAAATCACAAATGACATTTGCAATAGTGGCGAAAGGATGATAAAAACGAACAATAGTAGCTAGTATTGTTATTAACCAAGGCTGCTGCCCCTTTATGGCCCTTTCAAAGTTGAAAGTGAAGCTACTTGATTATTATTTTTTTCATTTTCTATCTAGAATCAGAATCTCAAAGGCTCCCCTCCAAAAAGAAGAGCGTTCTGCGTGATGGTGTTGCTTGCTTTTGTAATGTTAAATTATGATCGGCTAAGGTAAGGTTCATAGGGAAGAATATATTTGGGGGTAGTTGCAAAATAAACACAAAATATGAGCTTATAATTTAATTCTCACTTCAGTAGTAGTTTTTTGGGATTAGCTGGTAAAATTCTATTGATTACACTGACTACTTACCGATCTTCCACTGGAAACTCCATCTGCAGGCAAGCGAATGACAATGATATCAAGAGAGCCTTCTGGATACTCCAGCAGAATCTTCAACTACATAGTGATTGTATGATATACAGAGAATATTTGTTTCATTTTTCAAATGTATTGTGTTCTGGTTTAGATTATGATAGGATTGGGAATTGTAGGGTCTGAATCCAGCAAGGTTAGAAATAAAGTCTGAGACAAGAAAAGATTGTTTTCAAAACACTGTACAGATAATCAACATCCAGGACTCAGAAATGGGCAACAAAATGTCTATTACTGTATAAGGATATGAAAAAGTGACACAGGATTTAAACACTGGAGTCAATGTTTAGGTATGGCTCTATTTCTGGATTCTGCTATACCTGCTCTTCATCATTAATAACAGCTTATTTTAAACCTGCGGTAAAGATAACTTATCTAAGTCTCATCCTTGAATCTTCTTCCACAGAAAGATTTATTGCTATGCCCAGGCTAAACTGTTACAGGAACAAACTTTTCTTATAAAATAGAATTTAAATATTTGTGAAAGACATAGCAGTGGAATTGAGCATTGCAGGAGAAACATAACACATTCAAAGAATAGGGAGAACAGTTTTTGGCATTCAAGAAATCCATATTCCCAGTGTCACCGGAAGAATTGACTAGGATTTCTGCAGTGCTTTTGTTGGCCATTTTCAGAAAGTTAAGATTATATGAACAACATCACCAATATTTATTATGGAGAGGTTTTTTATACTATTCCCTGTACCTTTAGCATTCTTTCATTGTTCTTGTTATTCTTTATATGTATATACTTTACTGAAAATCTTACAACCACTTCAAATAAAGTAATTGTAGCACTTCAGCTAAAATTGTGCAAGAAATTTGAAAATATCCAAGCTTTAGAATAATAGTTAAAATATAATTGATTTTTATAAACAATTCATGATCAAGATCACGTGAAGTGTTAATGCCACTTTATAATGCCTTGGTAAGGTCACACTCGGAGTACTGCATCCAGTTTTGGTCGCCACGATATAAAAAATATGTGGAGACTCTAGAAAGAGTGCAGAGAAGAGCAACAAAGATGATTATGGGACTGGAGGCTAAAACATAGAACGGTTGCTGGAATTGGGCATGTCTAGTTTGATGAAAAGAAGGACTGGGGTGACATGAAGCCGTATTCCAGTATTTCCCTCAAAGAAGAGGGAGTCAAGCTATTCTCCAAAGCACCTAAAGGCAGGACAAGAAGCAATGGGTGGAAACTAATCAAGGAGAGAAGCAAGCTAGAACTAAGGAGAAATTTTCTGACAGAACAATTAATCAGTGGAACAACTTGCCTCCATAAGTTGTAAATGCTCCAACACTGGAGGTTTTTAAGAAGAGATTGGATAACCATTTGTCTGAAATGGTATAGGGTTTCCTGCCTAAGCAGTGGGTTGGACTAGAAGATGTCCAAGGTCCCTTCCAACTCTGTTATTCTATTCTGTTCTGTGCTGTGCTATGGTATTGTCCATTTCAAGGCTTTTGTGGAAGGTTTGTCTGGAAAGGGAAAGATCTTTCTCCTGGCATTTGTCTGCCTCATCAGTTTTTCATTTATACTGCTTAAACTTTCCAGCCCCAATTTCAGGATTGTTTTGTCCCTAGAAAACTTTTATAACTAACGTGTGTTTAGGATGATATCATTGTTGGCGGGAGCAAAGCAGTTACTGTACAATTTAAATGAAAAATACCGTATCTGGTTTTTTTACTTGAACAGAGCTTGTTTTTAGCCAGATATAGAAATCATAAACCAGTTCTGCTAGCTGGAAATATAGCCTTCCAATTTGTCAAAATAATATGTGGCCCAGAGAAGGTAGAGTAGAACTAAGCACTGAATGATGTTGGGCAAATGAGTATGTTGCTGATCAGGCTCCTTGCTGTGGGTTCTTCTTTTCCTCTTTCTATCTACTCATTCCATTTTGTTGCTAAGCATGACTCAGTGAGCCATATAGCTCAAAAGGAGCCCTGAAGTTGGTCCTTGATTTGCTGAATTTGACTTTCAGGAAGCCATTGTTATCTCTTCTATGTGCTAATGTCAGTAGCAGTACAGTTGAACATACTTTTTTATGTGCAGTATCTGGGGAGAAATTGTCTTTGCTGCTTCTTCATGTTTGGCTCAAAGTTAACTTCCATGTTTAGTATAATAGAAAGTTTCTTGCTGAAGAGGCTACAACTCTTGTCAGGAACTCTCTTATGTGGTGAATGAAGTCACTGACTAGGAATCTGGAATCCTGTCTGAGGCTCATGCAAAAGATTTGTTCCATTTCAAGAGGGACAACTAGGTTTTTGACCATATAAGAAATTATTTGTGAATAGTTCCAACTAGACTTTATTTAAAGAACAAGACTGTTTTTTTCAATGTACTGGATTATTAAAATTAAGTGCAAGGGACAACGCACTGTCTACACACAATAATTAAAGCGATGAATATTATCCTCATAGATTACAAGAACAATTGCTTGGTTTGTTGAGGTTTTTTTTGTTGTTGTTGCTGCGGTAGCTATATCATCCTGGCAACAGAGCCAGCTCCCTATTGAATTGCAGATAGATGATACGTAACAGAGTTGGAAGGGACCTTAGAGGTCTTCTAGTCCAATCCTCTGCTCCAGCAGGAGACCTTAAATCAGGGCTGTCAAACTCCTGGCCTGCAGGCCGGATGGGTCACGCGCTGGCCACGCCCATGGCCAGTTTAGCAAAGGGGGAAATGTCCTGATATGTCACATGATGCTGCTGTGACGATGTGAATTTGACACCCCTGCCCTAGATCATTCCAGACAAGTGGCTGTCCAGTCTCTTCTTAAAAGCCTTCGGTGAAGGAACCCACAACTTCTGAAAGCAAGCCAGTTAATTGTTCTCACTGTTAGGAAATTTCCCCTTAGTTCTAGATTGCTTCTCTCCTTGATTAGTTTCCATCCATTATTTCATGTCTTGCCTTCTGGTGCTTTGGAAAATAGATTGAGCTCTTGTTCTTTGTGGCAGGCCGTCAAATATTGGAAGACTTCTATAATGTCACCTTGGCCCTTTTTTTTTCATTAGACTAGATAAACCCAAGTCCTGCAACTGTTCTTCATTTGTTTTAGCATCCAGCCCCCTACTGTAGTATTGGATTGTTATTCCCAGAAGATATTCAGCTCCAAGATTGTTCTCATGGCTACAAATATAAACTTGTTCTTTTTTAAAATTGTTTTTCCTATGTTTATAAAAGGAAACAGGTTATGCTTGGTTCTGTATATGACAGATTTTTAAAGTAAGGTGTTCACTTTTGTGAATATATCCTAGAAAGCTTATGGTCAAATGCCAGCTTTGTCTTCCAAAAATGGAAGACAAGTTAAGTTATATGAGTCTCCCAAAGCCTTAATCTAGCTATATTCTTATTGCTAGAATCCTCAACTGCCTTTGGTTTTTTTTTAAATAAAAATCACAAAATGTTGCCTATTTCTGAGCTACAAGACTTGGGGAAATTAGCTTGGGCTCAAAACATTGGCCTAGATTCAACAATAAAAGGGGAGGAGAACTCTCCCTGGACCTCTCTTCATTCCAGTGGAAGCTTTGGAAACAATAATGTTCTCCCTGAAGGACCAGATTCATAGCATGGGCATCCTTCTCAATTCACAACAACCCTTTGAATAGGCAGATAAAGGCTACCAATTGGGGGTGGTGGTGCTCTGTGCCCATTTTCAGATGGTGTCTCATTTGCACCCTTTCTGGAGAATCAGGCCCTGGCAACAGTGATGTACATGCTTGTTTCCCCCAGGTTATATTATTGCAACATATACTACATAGGTCTGCCTATGAAAACTACTTGGTGGGTCCAAAAACGTAGCAGTCCACTTGTTAACAGAAAAGCGCCACTGTTTGCACATAACTCCAGGGCTTTAAGTGGCTACCAATAGGCTTCTGAGTAGAATTAAAAATCTAGACATATGATTGGTATCCTGGTACCTTAAGGACTACCCACTTATTTATTTATTTATTTATTTATTATTCAAACTTCTATACCGCCCTTCTCCTTTCGGACTCAGGGCGGTGAACAGCCAAAATAAAAACATTTATACATAAAGTTACAGTTAAAAATAGATTTAAAATAATTAGATAAATTTGGCCCGTAGTTTAAAATTTATCAATTTAAAATCCGTATCAAATTTTAAAACCAACCATAAAATCAAGACAGACCGGCTAATTGAAAAAAATAAGTTTTTAGGGCCTGACGAATCGTATCTCTGGGGGTAGATTGTTCCAAAGGGTAGGTGCCACCACAGAGAAGGCTTTCCTCCTGGGGGTCGCCAGCCGGCATTGTCTGGCTGACGGCACCTTGAGGAGGCCCTCTCTGTGGGAGCGAACTGGCCAGTGGGAGGCTATTGGTGGCAGAAGGCAGTCCCGTAAGTACCCTGGCCCTAAGCCATGGAGCGCTTTAAAGGTGATCACCAACACCTTGAAGTGCACCCGGAAGTCCACCGGAAGCCAATGCAGCTCGTGCAGGAGAGAAGTCACATGGGTGCGCCCCGTCGCTCCCATAATCCCCCGCGCGGCCGCATTCTGCACCAGTTGGAGCCTCCGGGTGTACCCCAAGGGGAGCCCCATGTAGAGAGCATTACAATAGTCCAGACGAGAGGTGACGAGTGCTTGAGTGACCGTGCGTAGGGAGTCCCGATCCAGAAAGGGGCGCAACTGGCGTATCAGGCGAACCTGATAAAAAGCCCCCCTGGCCACGGCCATCATATGCCCTTCTAAAGACAGCCGTTGTCCAGGAGGATGCCCAAGTTGCGGGCCCTTTCCGTGGGGGCCAGTGATTCGCCCCCAATAACCAGCGATGGCGTCAGCTGGCTATACCGGGACGCCGGCAGCCACAGCCACTCGGTCTTGGAAGGGTTGAGTCGAAGCCTGTTTCTCCCCATCCAGACCCACACGGCCTCCAGGCACTGGGACATCACTTCCAAGGCATCGTTGGGATGGTCTGGGGTGGAGATGTACAGCTGAGTATCTTCAGCGTACTGATGGAACTCCACCCCAAAACCACGGATGATCTCACCCAGCGGCTTCACATAAATGTTGAACAGGAGGGGCGAGAGGACCGACTCTTGTGGCACCCCACAAAGAAGGCGCCTTGGGGTCGACCGCTGCCCCCCTGTCAACACGGATTGCGACCGGTCGGAGAGATAGGAGGAGAACCACCGCAAAATGGTGCCCCCCACTCCCAGTCCCTCCAGCCAGCGCAACATGATACCATGGTCGATGGTATCAAAAGCCGCTGAGAGGTCTAACAGGACCAGGATAGAGGAGTAACCCCTATCCCGAGCCCTCTAGAGATCATCCACCAACGCGACCAATGCCGTTTCCGTGCTGTACCCAGGTCTGAAGCCGGACTGGAGCGGATCCAAATAGACAGCTTCATCCAGGTACTGGGGAAGCTGTCGTGCTACCACACTCTCAACAACCTTTGTAATAAAGCGAAGGTTGGAGACTGGACGATAGTTAGCCAAAACAGCCGGATCCAGGGATGGCTTCTTGAGGAGAGGCCTCACCACCGCCTCTTTCAAGGTGGCCGGCAGGACACCCTCACTCAAAGAAGCGTTGATAATTCCCTGGAGCCAGTCTCGTGTAACCTCCCCGGAAGCCAGCACCAACCAGGAGGGACACGGGTCCAATAAACATGTCGCGTTCAGCCGTCCGAAGATCCTGTCCATGTCCTCGGGAGCCACAGGATCGAACTCCTCCCAGATAACACTCTCAAGGCCTGCCTCAGTCATCTCGTCTGAACTAACCCAGTCAGCGGCCAAGTCTTCCCGAATCTGAGTTATTTTATCATCCAGATACTGTACAAAATCCTCAGCTCGGCCCTGCAAGGGGTCCTCCCGCGCTCCCAGATGGAGAAGGGAGCGGGTCACCCTGAACAGGACGGCTGGGCGGTTATCTGATGACGCGATAAGAGTGGCAAAATAGCTAGATTTCGCCGCTTTTATCGTCACTAAGTAGGTCTTAATATGAGATCTTACCAGTGTCAAGTCGGATTCGGAACGACTGGCCCTCCAATCGCTCTCTAGGCGTCTTTTCCGGCGCTTCATCTCTCTCAGCTCCTCGGAGAATCAAGTGGATCTCACCTGACCAGTACATAAACCTCACATTTTGGTTTTTTCATGTGTACCACCATGAATTTATGCAGGATTCGACATGAAGATGTACTAAATTTAAACTACTATGTCTCTTTCTTTCAGTGGGTTTGAATGGGGACCTGATTCTACTGAACATCTTGCCAGCACTAGCTACCAAAGTCGACATCTTCTTGAATTTTCTGCAAGTAGGCCTCAGGAAACAGATGGCAAGAATAATGGCGGGTAAGCATAAAACTTTATACTTTAGTGTCTTCCAGTTTGCAATAGCCTACATATACAAATGTAACAAACGGCTAATGTGTTGCTTATTACTACTTAAGGGTCCATAATTGGTTTTTTTAATGATACAGACTATTTTCATCTGTTAATAGCTGTATATATATATATATATATATATATAGCTAATAGCTGTGTATATTATGTCTCAGAAATGTTGTAAAGTAACAAGACACAATTTCCCATCAGTACTATGTGCCTTATCCCAAAATCTGATCTTACAAGTTGGGGAGTATTTGTGCTGCTGTGAAATTCCTGTTCTCACTACTTAACAGAGAAGTGCTGTCTTTTCCAAGAAGAGTTGATATCCTGCATAAAACTGATCTTGCCATAGTTCTGTATGTATTTGTCAGATCTAAAATATGTGCTAAGAACCTTCAGCTGCTACAAAATGCTGCAAGTTTTAACAGGAACTGCTCAATACATAGTTTTAAAATAAAATGAAGTTGCATATTATTTGATATTGTGTTAATGGTTTCACTGAGCATCTGAACTTGCTGCTTATCTAGAGGAAAAGATAAAAGGGGAGAGTGTTTTGGTTAATACAGGTAGTCCTCCACTTACGAACACAATTGAGCCAAAAACTTCTGTTATTAAGACATTTGTTAAGTGAATTTGCCCTATTTTACAACCTTTCTTGCCACAGTTGTTAAGTGAATCACTGCAGTTGATAAGTTAGTAACTTAACTTATCAACTTATTAACAGTTGTTAAGTGAATCTGGCTTTACCATTGACTTGTCAGAAGGTCGCAAAAGGTGATCACATGAGACCTTGGGACACAGCAATGGTCATAAATATGAACCAGTTGCCAAGCATCTGAATTTTGAACACATGGTCATGGGGATGCTGCAAAGGTCATAACTGAAAAACAGTCGTAAGTCACATTTTTAGTGCTGTGGTAACTTTGAACGGTTACAAAATTAACTGTTATAAGTCAAGGACTACCTGTATTTTGTCTGGGGGCTGAAAGCTAGTTTATAGGTACAAAAACTATCATTCAATTCTTCAGCTTCAGTGTAAAGTAGGGCTTTGTATTCTGTGCTTTTCCAATTGTTGTTGGGCTACAATTGTAGAAGTGGTCAGTGGAAAAGTACGTGGAGTCCAGAAGTATCAGGAAGGCTTCCTGTTCCTTACTCTAATGCTTCGTTCTGCAAAAGGACAAATATATTTCAGCAGAAATCTCTTCTAGTTTTAGTTGATGTGCATCTTAGAAATGTTTGTGTCCCAGCATCTTGCTGTCTCCCTCATTTTTTATGAAACAACTTTGTTTTTCCCAGATGAATCAGTCTAACATTATTGGAAACTTGACATCTTCTGAGATGTAGGCTTTTCCCATTCCAAATAGGCCTGTTCTGAAGCATTTTGTTCAAATAACCAAGTTTTTTAAAAGGGCATTCGCACTGCTGGAACCTTTGTCTGGAAAATAATCTTATTATTTTCTTTGGACATAGCAAGCATTCTATGTAGTGAACTTGGAAAAGCATTGGGAGTTTTCTTTCTGTGCTGAGACAGATCCATATCAATTTATAGCCTGGAAAACAGTTCATCTTTTGCTGTTTAGAGCCATGATCTAAGAAGACCTTCTCAGGGCAAGTCTGGGTTTACTGGCATATACTTTTGGAATGGGAATTCATTTTACTTTTATTTTAATATGCTTTTTCTCTGTTAGTAGGACTAGCACAGAGTTTAAGATGAATATGAAAAGCCAATGGAAAATCCTGCTCTTACTTGCCAAGGGGGCATGCCGAATGTAGAGGCATTTTATTGTTTGTTTTCCCCAGAGCTTTCCCAATTTGCCTGGGCAAATTGTTCTAAGCAGTTCAGAAGACTAGGCCCCAGGGTTGGAAGAGGATGATTTTTCTGTAACATGCTGAGGGAGAGAGAAACAGTATTGTTTAATTGTTTAACTGACCTTAATTAAGTGAAGAAAGAAATTCTCCTTGTGAAGAGTGAATCTATGCTGAATTGCTAAGGAATGCTCAGAGAATGGTTTGAAGCAAAGGGTTTCCTCTTCCTATTATATTACTTCACAGAGAGTAATAATCCAGTAGCATTAATGCTACAGAGGATCAACACTGGGTATAACAGTGGGGAAAACAAGGATGCAGTCTGTTCATAAGAATTTACATTGTATATTTACAAAAAATAAAGGAACCCAGCAAAACCTCTAGCAGGAGGAGTGCTCAGCTATTTGTAAGGTAGAAAGCTGTATTTGAACTTTTAGTGACAATTTGGAACATAGTTCAAAACATAGTTGGCCTGAGATGAAAAGTAAATTTTGTTTAATTTTAAGCCATATTTCAATGAAATTAAATTAATTAGTTAATTTATTACATCATTTTAACTTTATTACTTTGAAAAATTTGAAAGTATTGGTACTTTTTGGAAAGAAGTTTGCTGGATTGGAAATTGTGTGCTACTCTATTATAGTGTGGATAAAACAAATACAAAGGAAGTGTGTCACAACAGCCATAAAAGGAGTATTTACCAGAGAAGGAATATATAAGGAAGTAGTAGTAGTAGTAATCATACTCTTTTGGAAAATGAAGAAATGATTGGGGGGAAAGGAAAAACAACAGAAAAGCATGCAAATATCTATTTGAATGTTCCAAAATGCTACCATCAAATATTTAATGTTGATTAAGATCTTAATCCAAAATGTTTTAAACTGTACATTTCCCTTCCTGGTGCCCCTCAGTGCTATGGAGAGAACACATGTAACTCAGGTTCTTGGCATTCTTTTAAGCTTGATTGTTTTGCAGATATTTCATTATCTGTCAGCTCTTATGATGATGATTGTTACCTTGGTTGGTTATGGAATAACTGCAAGAAAGCCACCAAGCTCAGAGAGCATCAAGAACATAATAGCTTTGTTGGTTTCAGGCAATTCAGGTAGTCCTTGACTTACAACCATTCATTTAGTGACCATTCAAAGTTACAATAGCTCTGAAAAAGGTGACTTATCGTTTTTCACACTTTTGACTGTTGCAGCATCCCCGTGGTTATGTGATCAAAATTCAGATTCTTGGCAACTGGCTCATTTATGGCTGTTGGAGTATCTTGGGGTCATTTGTTTACCTTTTGTGACCTTCTGTTAAGCAAAATCAGTTGGGAAGCCAGATTCAGTTAGCAACCTTGTTACTAACTTAACAACTGTAATGATTCACTTAAAAACTGTGGCCAAAAAATAGGGCAACTGTTGTAAAATAGGGCAAAAATCACTTAACAATTGTCTTGTTTAGAACAGACATTTTGGGCTGAATTGTTGTAGTCAATGACTCCTGCATTACCCCAGAGATGTCAGTGTGACATTAGAGTGCAATTTCCACTTGCAGCTCAGAAGAAGATCCCTTCCTATGGGTGGCTACGTGAACATTTCTAAAAGAATAACTCTTCTGATCCTGAGATTTTTAAGTGTGCCTGTGGTTGCTGTCTGGTCCCTCAATTGCCTAGGATGATGTCCATTGATTGTTTGCAAATGTTCTTGTTGGCTTGTTGCAGAAGTGTACTTTAGGCATTAAGTAAATGTGCACTTAATCATCTTCTGATTGAAATTTGGCATTTTCAGCTAATAGGTGATTCAAATCTAACAGAGTCTTTCATTTCCAAGATAGCTACAGATGTGCCAAAAGCATAAATAGTTGAAAATATTTTGAAAGCAGGCAGTAAAATGAGACTGTTTGTAATGTCTTTACAATTAAAATTCTGTATCGTAAACTATGCACAGGCATGAGTGTTGAAAGAAAGCCAATATTGTTTGTGTTTGAACTTTCTGAAACAGAGGCCTTTTGGGGTAGAAGAATAGAATTTCCCATTCTCTCTTCCTCACATGTGTAATATCAGCATACTTCATCGCTAAATTTGTAATATTTTGGTTCATTTGATTTGACTATCTACTCCCTGGCCGACATCTTAGATTCCAGGTGCTGGTTAGTACTTCACCAACAGCTACTCTTCTATTTAGAATAGCCAGCTCACTCTTTTGCTAATGCCTCATCTGTTTTGCATCTTTTTCTTCTTCTTTCTGTGCTTGATTCTGAGAGCTCATATTGCACTGCTGTGATGTATTTCTTTTACACCCACTGCCTCATTATTTTCTTGACTATGTTCCACCTAATCCCAGCTCTGATTCCCCCATGTTCTGTTTGACTGAGCCTGCCCTTCCTAATGTTCCAAGAATTCTTGTGTGGTCATACACGTGGCTGATTCTCAGTCCAATTTTTTTAGCCAGGCATTGTCTTTTCCTTTTCTTGCTCACCCTTTTGAGCTTTTGCATCCTTGCAGACTGTGTCTTGATATTCTCAGTTATTTCAGACTTGTATACTGGCTTCTGGTAAACTGTAGGAATTGCCCTTGCCTTGCTGTAGCTCATACAGTACTTCTTCCAAACTTCTCGCTTTTCAGGTAACAGTGAAAAACATTTCCAAATCTATTTTTCAGTTGTTGTTGTTTTGCCAGTTTCAAATGCTGGATTCTTGAAATAGAGATACTTGGAGAGGGGAGTAATAACTCTCCTGTAGAATTTTCAGCTGCAAGGGTTTATGCAGTGAACATAGATGCATTCTTTGCATAATCATAATGTTAGAAATGGGCTCAGATGTCATCTTCTCCAACAACATAGAATCTATTAGAACATCTCTGACAGACGGTCATTAAAGGCTCTGTTTGAAGATCTCCAGTGAAGAACTCTGCACTTCATACAACATCTTGTTCTACTGGCTGAAAGTTCATATATTTATAAGTTGTAACCTGGACCTACTTCCTTAGAGGTTTTTTAACCAATTGATTCTGGGCCTGCCTCCTGTGGAAATAAAGAATAAGTTTATTCTTTATTTCCACAGTCACTCCTTCTGTGTGACTGTCCTTCAGGTATTTGAAGACTGCTGTCATATTTCTGCCTAGTTTTTTATTCTATAGGCTAAATATACCCAGATGTTTTAAAGGT